TGAGTAAGCTCCCTACAGCAGGTCTTCCCAGATGCCTTACAGACTGAGTCTGTGATAAAGGAGTTTTGGAAGAAAGCATTTTGTAAGAAAGACCCACAGTTAATAAATCAAACATGTCTACTGCAAACAAACAATACTCTGACAAATAAAATTTACCGTTCTCTCTTCTCATATTGATAATTTTCAGCAGCACAGCTGAAGCTCTGACAGTGTTTCTCTTCCACACCTCTGAAGTCTGCAAAATCATAAATAATTTAACTAGACAATTTATTTTTGATGCGAGTAATAAAATTTCACAGTTATAGGTGATAAAAATCTCTCCTATCCGCAGTCTCATCCATTCCTCACAAGCCCCCTCATAATGTACCCTTAACAGGGCCTTGTTTGCTCTGTGCAGTGGTTCTGAGGCTGTCTTGCCAATCCTTTCTGCTCCATGTTGACTCTAATAACTTCAGTGATGTTGGTTTTACCAGGTTGCAGAGAATTTTCTCTGTCAGGACTGTGCAAGCAACAGGGACGCGTTAGTGAGCTGAGAGTTGAAGCACTCTGTGACTGCTGAGTTTGATACCTTGGTGAAATCCAGGATGATGAAGTGGAGAATAAAGATACTAGGGGAGAGCAGGTACTCTTTAGTGAGAGGAAATATTGACCTACCATGAGCTTGGATATATGAGTTCAACAGCCCCCCCAACACACACCCTGAAATTCATCATGCAGCAAATGACTTCATGCCTATGGTAACAGCAATAGTCATGTGTAGAGGCTTTTCACTGCTTTATGCTTTCATCGTCACAAGTTCAAACCAGTCTGCTTGTCAACTATTCTTGCTCGTAGCTTTCGTTATTTGCATGCCAACTTTTGTTCTTACGCTTCCTCAGGAACCATCTTCCAGCCACTGCTGGGAAGAGGGTCTGGGCCACATGGACCTTTGTCTGATCCTGCAGAACCATGTTTATCTTCTCTGGTTTGCTATTAACAATACTGTGTCACAGAAAATTCAGCTTTTACAATCATATCAAATGAGACCACCAAGTACTAGGCACCTTCCTGGCACAAAAAGATGACAAACATAAGGAATGAATGGCAAAAGATTGGAAGCTGGAGGAAAAATGAAAGAGAATAAAATAGGAAGAAAGAAAGCAAACCAAATCCATACTCTATTTTACTTCAAATATCTCCAGGGGATTGGGGGGGGTGTTGGAGTGGGGGGTGGTTTTAAATGATTATGTAAGAAATACTCGTGCAGTAGAAAACAAAACTGTGGGGGGCATCTGAAGGCTAAAGACGAGATATGCAGGGTAGAGAAGGAACAACAGCACAGACTGAGTACATAGAGAGGATGAGATTTGAATATGGTTACTGTTAGGAATGGTGATCATCCACTGAAAAATCTGAAGCTGAGAGTTTAAAAATCAAAAGCGTGCCTTTAAAAATTGTCTTATAAGTGCACATCTTTGAACTTAGATACACAAAACGAATGTTCTGATTCTCCTTGGGGCCCCAAAGAGACAGGAGTCCAGAGGTCATTTGTGTGAGGGTCAGGAAATTTCTTGGCTGTATCCTACAAGCTGACAGTACCTGTCTGCACTACAAAAACATCACCAGACTAAACCACTGAAAGGTATTGTAGCCGTACTGCTACCTTCAATAAAATGAAAGATGCATTGTTAAATGAATGTTCCCCACTACACGGAATTCACACTGTTTATTTTCTTTAGTCAGTGCTCGTGCCCTCTGTGTACCTTCCCAAGATGTTGAAAGAAACCACTCTGGTCTTGCTCCCCAAATCTGGAGAGGATTTTGCTTGCTCTCCACCTTCAGATACCTCAACACATGCCTCCTACACCACTGGAACAGCACTTTCTCCCCTTGCACATCTCCATGTTTCATTCTTTATGGGAAAAGAGCAGGAAAGTTTAACATACCTTCCTTTTCTGATGAGCAAACAACCCTGACAGAAGAGTCATTTTGGCCAAGTTGTAACATGGTATCAAGAGACAAACAAAAGCTAAATCTGGAGGCTGCTGGGGAGCCCTCAACAGCACACAGCTGCAGTAAGTAACAGATGCAAGCATTGCCGAATTGCCATCAACTGCTTATTAAACAAGCCATGACCAACAGATGGGAACACTGCTTCATTACGATAGCCTTCTCCAAATGCTGAACGAACTATCTGGAAAATGAGAATGGAAAACAAGTGGGTGCTAAAAATGTGAAATCCTACTGTGGGAAATCCAGCCAATCCACTAGACTGCCAGGTGCCACAGCTGCTACACTCTTGAACCCAATTCAGAGGGACTAGATTTTCCACAGAAAACGGTAGAAAATGATAATTCTCAGAGGTCTTCCACTGACCCCATATTGGCAGTTACAGTAATTATCGGTGTAATTGCTTCAAGTCACATCTCATTATAAATTTAAAAGGAGACTGGGGCTCCATTTGCTAATGAATCAGGCAACACAGTCGACTGCTTTGTATTGCCTGTACTTCACTCTGAACTGTTTTCTGATTTAGGTTTTCACTAGATCACCATTTTGGAAAATCGACAAGGCAGTCACGTGAAATGAACGTTGATTTTAGGCATCACAGAACAGAGAAGACTAGGAAGACAGGAAAAAGAATTTTTCTATAGAAACAAATACATGTCTTTTAAAGTATCTATAAAAGCAATCATTGCAACAGACAATGATTGAGTCAAGTATTTGTGATATTGTTCAATCAAATAGTATTATTCGAGTTACCTAGACAAAGAATCATTTAGCCCAGTAAGAGTCAGTGGGAATTTGCCAGGACTTCATTCACTCTTTTATAAAAATACAGAGCTAACAAAATAAGAGCAGCAAGCATGGCAGGGGGATTGGAACTAGATGATCTTTAGGTCCTTTCCAACCCTAACTGTTCTATGATTCTATGATAATAGTTCTGGAATAAATAAGACAAAATTACACATCAACACAATAATGAAGTTAATATACACTAAATAACTAACAGAATTGCTTAATCTTTATTTACTTCTGTTGTTTCCCTGAGTGGGAACAATAGAAATGAGTTGCTGATTCTTCCTAACAATCAGGAATATTTTAGCTGAGCACAAACCAAACTACAAGCATTCCAAATGCTCTATTAATTTAATACAGAGCCCACAACTCTGTGGAAATATAAGACTTCATGAAAATACAAGGCTACATCAACCACCCATGTAAGAGCCAGGTATTTGAATCCACGTTATCTTGGAGAACACAGAAATCCATCTCTATCTTGGACAACATTCATTCAAGTTAGTGAACTTACTTTCTCATATAACAGAAGAATATACACATGAAATCAACAAAACCATAGGGGGAAATATTGATTAACACATGGAGTAGTTACAAAACACAACCCAATCAGATAATTAACCCAATCAGACCTGAACCTTGGGCAGAAGGAAAAACAATGTCAGGCAAACTTGTTTTCTCTATTCATTTCACTCTTTAAAATGAAATCCAGTATTAACACAGTTAAAATAGGTGTGTATGTCAGGGCCAAGTAATACATTTGATATAATTTATAAAATTATATACACAAAATGCTATGAAATCATTAGCATTGTTTGAGAATGGGACAAATATCTACACCAAAATAGAGTGAATACACCATCACATACAGAGATTGGATAAAGATATATCTGATGAAACCCTATGAGGATGACTATATAGTCTTATTTATCTTCAGCAGCAGTCTTTCTCCTTTCTTATAAAAAACATAAAGATATGTAAATAAACATATATTTAAGCAAAACAAAAAAGCCATGAGAAGAGGACAGGGCACCCTTTTTAGAAAGTTTGACCTGCATACCACCTTAAAGTCTTGTTAGAGTCTAGATGGAGTACTGTGAGATTATTTGGTAAACCTAGGCACAATTTAAGTACATAGCCACTTCTCTCATTTAATCTTTCCTTCAGCATGAATGGAATCAGTAAAAGGATTTGCTGATATCATTAGCATTTTTTCCCGTTCACTCAGCATTTGCACCTCAGATATCCAAGATATCCAAGAGGGAGGAGTCTGGAATAACTGAGCATTTCCAGTGAAGTAGCCCTGACTGTGGGCAGCCATGGTCTCTCACACAGCTACAGGACAAACTCAGCACCTCTGCACTCATATAATTCTGACCAGGCCTCCTAAAATGTAGTGGCATAATAATTCTCACTATAAGTGATGTAAATGGAATCTGCAGGCAATGTTTAAAATCATAGAATCATAGAATGGTTAGGGTTGGATTTCTCATCGGCCCCTTCAGGTATAAAACACGAGTGAGTATACAGAACAAAGTTCAAGTTGACTAACAATATGATGATAGAGTGAATCTATAATCCACTACTTCTTGAAGTAAATAATTAAGGAGGATGTTGAAAACATTTAAAATCATACAAGAGGTATAAGTAGGACATATGGATAAAAATTCTCTTATCTTTCCACAGACTGCAAATAGGATCTCTAAAATGAAGAGCTGACTGTGGCATGTAATGTCATACCTATGCTAGCCCAGGTCTCTGCTGCAGAGGAAGTATACATGAAATATAGATACTGATGTCAGCTTAATTTGAGCTAGCTCAGATTCTAAAATCAATTTACCCTGTGAAGCATTTAGCTCCATATGCAATTAATTTAATGACTGCAATATAGATATACCTTTATTCTAACAAGTATCAAACAGTAGAAGCACTGGAATATATACTCTGTTTATAAGCAGATACTAAGGTTGGTGTTACTGCATATTCACTGCTACTACAAATGTTAGGAAAATTAAGATAGCATCTTCTGGAACATGCTTTATTCAGTTCTTCCGTTTGCCGTGGAAACGCATGCTGAGAATCATCAGTGTGAAGAATGATTTCCAAAGGAGGTGAAAGAACCTCATCACATAGGACATGGCAAAGCAGACTGGTCTAATACCCAGAAATGCAGAAACCATCTTGTGTGGGGATTAACTAAAGGGCCATCAGATCTGTTTAATCTAATATTTATCATTTTCCATAGCTACTTCTTTACCTCCAAATTCTTCTTCATTGCTAGGCAGTGAATTTCTTCCTCTCTGCTTTACTTCCCTTCTGGAGACAAACAAAAGATTATCAGAGTCTGACATCTTCTCGCTGGGATCTCTTTTGTCTACTGATCTCCTCTTCTTTTTCTTTTTCTCCCTATCTTCTTTCACAACACTTTTCTTTTCTTCTTTTCCTCCTTCATCTTCCACAGATGAGTGAGGATAGGGCTTTGTGGTCTCTCTGTCCAGGCTAGAAAGTCAGACAAGTAAATTCGGTGAGGTAAAAGCACATATATCTTACACTATTTAAAATTCTTCTTTACATGAGACAGATATCACCTTTTCCCACATCTCACAGTACTGAAAAGTGAAGGACTTATCACACTCTTTACCATTTGACATGGCTATAAATATCTTGAAATTCAGTTTCCATTTTATTTATAAAATAAGTAAAGAATAGCCTATAACAGAGCTCTGAACCTGAGTTCTGTCTACCTCTTATGACTACAAAAAGAATTTGGGGAATAATTGTCTTTTATGGTATGGGCTAAGAGCACATAATGTTTTACTTTGCATATTTAATTTGTTAGTTACATTTGCAGAATGCTTGTTCTGCCATAATTATTTCTTTTTACTGTGATTGCAGGACCACCCCCACCCCCACCCCCCCCCCCAAACAGATGCTAGCAAAAAGCAAAAGACAAATATTCTAGATTGGTAAGCAGATTGTCAAGTCTTACACTACAATTTACTGTAAAGTTATAGATCCAACAAGTAGGAAACTTCAAAGATTCTAATCTATAAAAGCTCAACAGTACCAGGATTAATTCTTGGAAGAGACTAAAAATTCAGCAGCCTCAGACATGACACATGATGTAGAAAAAGATTGAAAAAAAATATACTGAAGTAGATGATAAAGTTGCAAATGTGCAAAAGAAGGCTCTGTGATTCTGGCAGCAAATTGTGGAATGTTGTAGATCAGTAGTGGTTATCAAGGTTTTTATTGGCACACCAATGCACTTCATCTGAATACCTGTGGGTAGGGTCTATGCTGCCTATGTGCTAAAAATTACCATTTATGTAGGTTATCCAATGTCAACAGAGGACCCTGGAAATCCCAAAACCCTGGAAATTTCAAATATGTCCAGTTTAGGGATGTAAGTGGGTAAGTTAAAAGAATCTGAGTTTCAGATGCTCAGCTCTCTTCATCATTTATGAATGATTTTACACTTTACACATTTCACTGCACTCTGCACTATAAATCTTGACATACAGTATACATCCATGGAGCCAAAGCACCTAAATTCCACTCTCAGAGCTGTCAAATGCTCAAAGTATTACTGCTCTGGGTCCCACAATGTCCCTCTATGTATTTGGGCCTTGGTGTCTTCAAAACACTAGTGACCAGATGTAAGTAGTCTACAACAAATAGAAAATCCATTTCACCTTTCAACAATCCTCTAACAGCTTCCTGAGGCTAAGCTTCAAACCATCTCGTCCCACCAATGTTTCCAAAACAAAAATAGGGGAATAAATTGCCAGATAATAAAATGGTATGACGGACAGTTTCTGCTCTTCTGCTTCACACACCTGTGGGTCAAATTACTTGGTTGGAGGTGTAGAGCAAGCCTGTTCACAACTGTTGTTAGGGTACTACATATAGAAATCTTGACACCATAGCTGAATCCCAAGTACAACATTTAGGATTCATGCAAAATAACTTTTCTATTTTTAGGTTCAAACATACTCACATCATACAATCCACCATCTGCACCATGCTGATATACCGACAGGAAAAAGCATACTTCATTTGGCTGATTTTAATAAGCTCACTTCTTACACAGTGTTCCTGCAATAATACAATCAACATTCACCTAATTTAAATCAAAATCTCAGAAACAATGAAGAGACATATGTAGAAAATTCAACTGTTTTAGTGTAACTGTAATCAGCCTCTAAATAATAAAGATAAAAATTTCAAGTACAAATGTACATTTTCTGCACTACAAAAACCACAGTAACGTCATCATGGTGGCTTGCAAACAAACATAATTAAATTAATTGAAGACTATAGTGACCGTGATAAAACTCCGTATGTTTTTCATGTTAGCAGCATGGAGCTTGTGAAAGCCACCAAATTGATCATAGCTATAAGAAGAGCAAGATTTAAGAAGAAATTATTTGACAGAATTTCTTGGTTCATGTCTATTACATGAGCACTTCATCGACTGAGCTCTGAAATCTGATCTGCTTTGGTTACCTGGAGATAGGGATTGGAACAGTGAGTTCATTAGCCTGGAAAATTTTATCTGCCTTATCAAAAATCGAGCAATGGTAATACCTCTGCCAAATTGGTATAATCTTTTAGGTTTGCTTACATTCCTGCTGTTGAACATCAGAACTGTGTAGAGTTTGTCACCCATTTCCATGCTCTTTGGTGTTGCTATGACAATGGCAGGCACATAATATTCATTTCCTGTCTGTGTCCCAGTTCTGGCAAACACATAGTCTCCAACCTGCACATCAGGAAAACAACAGTTTGCAAGAACTTTGTAACTTATGAGTTTTACAAGACACAAAAAGTAAATATGAAAACATTTTTACACGAATCATCATTCTAACATGTTCCCATGCTTTAATATAGATCTTTAAAAGGCAAGAACTTGGTCCTTGCACGTACCAATCACTTGTAATTTCCACTGAATCAGGGAGAGAACATTAAACAAAAATGAATGACAGAGCCCTACTAAATGTACCAGGGCTCAACCAGCAAGTCAAACTGAATGAGGAAACTTACAACTCCTAATTCCCTTAGACCTTATGCAAATTTATACATATTTAATGAGCTTTTAAACCAACCTTGGGAATTTTAGAGACTTCCGTATATAACTATCCTATAAAAAAATTATTTTAAAAATTAACATAAAAGTCACAACTTTCTATCAAATTTGGAAGATCTCTGGAGTTGAATGTTTCCTATGGAATGCCAGGAACCTCTAGATCAGGATTTGCCTTGATATCAAACAGGAAAAAAAAGCATGCCTCTAGTTTCAAGTGTAAGAAAGAAGTTACAAAAATGTTTCTTGTATTCAAAACAACTATATCCATTCTGGGTCCTTTTTGTATCATCTCTCTTGTGTAAAATAAGAATCACCTGAAAAAACAACTGTGATTACAATAGTCAGCTGATAAATTTTAAGTAAAACCAGAAATGGAATATGAAATTTTTTCTGTTACTGTTGTTTGCCTTAATATGAGGTTGTTTGCTGAATGTAAAATATGCTGTGAAAAACAAATGGTTATAACCTGCTGTTCATCACACTGTATATAAAAGGCTCTCCTTGATTTGTAATCCCTATGCTAGGAAACAATCATTCCCTCGCCTTTCTTCTATAGTAGGCAAATATTCATTTTTTAGAAATAAAATAATACAGAATTCTAATAAACAAAGGAATAGGATTGCAATGAAAACAACCTCCAAACAAATTAAAAAGTAGCATGATGAAAATAGCATGCTATTACTATCACTAAAAACTCTTCTTTAAAATAAATAGTTTTATATAAAAGTGGGTTTTTTTAAATCTATCCTTTAAAATTAAATTAAATTAAAATTAAAAATGCATATTTGCTGTCATAAAAAAATACAATTTTTCACCTGCAGATATGGGCATGGCATAGCACCTCCCACAGGTATAATGAACTTCACAGGTACGGTACAGGTCTCCCCATTGTTTAAGTCAACAAGTGCACAGGTAGAACTGATATTCTTTACCACAGTTCCTAAAAAATACATAATAAAATATTCAAAGGTTTTTTCTTTTATCACTGAGGTCAAATGCATCTATACTACACACTCTTCATTTTCATTTAGCTAAGTTAAGCTGTGCCAGGGCAATAGAGATATTTGTACCTAAGAAAATAATAGAGTCTTAGTAACCATTCTTAATAATGCCATAAAAGTAAAACAAAGAATAATCTTCAAGCCCAGGTCTGAAATGTGTAAGTTGGTCTGGTGGGTGATAGCTGACATAATGAAACTATTTCCACAGTTAAAGATATGTAATTTAAAAAAAACCAACAAAACCCACAAACAAACAAGTAAAGGTAACACAAAAGCAAACACATACACACGTGTCTTTTTTTATGAAAAGAAAGAACATGATTTTACCTACTTATCTTTCTGATTCAAAACTCAATAAAAAGGCAGAAGCATTTAGTGAATTATTTGAACACATGCAAAAGCTTGTTTTCCCAAAACACTTTAGGGAAACATCAAAGGGGTATAGGTGGATACTCTCAGATACTCATTTAAAAGGATTTCCTTCTGCACTTTTCTTATATAAATGCATCTACCTTTACAAAAGATATGTCTTTTTATAAATGTATCTATGTGCATACACAAGATACATATACTTTCTCATGCATATGCACATGTAATATTAAACCTTATTAAGGTAGAAGTAGCTAATTATGAGCAAAACTCATGTTTTATCAGAATTAAGAAACTTTAAACGGTATTTAAAATGTGGACAAAAATATATACCTGGATAATAAAATCCTGTGATGTCTGATCTTGCAATCACCTTTTGGCTTTTGTGAGTCACAAATACTTGGCTTTTTTTGTTTTTTTTAGATTTTGACTTCACAGTTTCTTCTTCAAGTCTCTGTAATTTGAGACAATTATATTTTTCACAACACCTAAGCCAGTCAGCCTCAATCTATCCCTTAGAATTGACTAAAAATTTAGGCAATGTAATGTTATGACCTCTGCCTACAATCCACAGTAAACTGGGCTTATTTTAAACACTTAAGATAGTTGTAAGCAGAAGAAACAATGCTACAGAAACTACTCACAGATAAGATCATCTAAGAGTTTTCACTATAAAACCCTGTTCTACATGGTGATAACAATACCTATATTTTCAAGTGTTCAGGAAGAAATTTACTTTGATGAATTATTGCTCTGGCTGCCATTTTCCTAGAAAAAAAAAAATCAATTCTTTTTCAAGGATGAGGTAACGAAAAATCAACTGATTTTGTAGAATAAGTGAAGGTGCTATACACATTTAATTTTATCTAGATAGGTGAGTCTTCACAGTAATCTTATTTTCATTGACAGTACCTCACTGTACAGAATGACTGATAAAAAATCAAATATGGAATCAAAATTTAAAAGAAAATGAATCTTGAAGTGTCTGAAAAAATAGTTACAAACTATAAACTCTAAATTAAAATTTTCAGCCCTTTTAAAACATTCCATCTTAGCAAAATATTACACCACATTTTCCAGAACTGCAACTGTCCCTCATTCAGCCCTGCTAGTCTGGGCTCTTCATAGATTAATTGTCCTTGTGGTGCAGCTTCACAGGCTGCAGCTCCTGTAATATATCACACACATACAGAACACTGGAACTTACTTCTGAATTGCTCGTAAATAGGTCTGGGGGACCACGCACCGGATGGTAAGCATAGAAATACCAGTGCAGCTGGCTTCCTGTGGACTGACCCAACTGCTAGTTGAAGTCAGTGACTGCAATTAGTAGTAATCGAATGAAGAATGCAAAAAGCATGATGGATCTCACACCACAACTGAGGCAGGGGGCTGTATTTATCACAGTATGTGAAAAATAGTCAAGACTCACAAATAACAAGTGGATCTGTGTAAAAACATACTGCTGGGCTGCCTGAGTTTCTGCATACCTGACTTTACGGTCACCACATTCTTTCATATTAAAACCTTTTATATCTCACATTAAAATACATAGAGTCTCAGTGTTATTTGCCTTTAAAGTAAATTATGTTCCTGAAACACTTTTTTTCTAGATGAAATAATTTCTTCCCATTAAGGACATCTCTCTTACAGGAAGTTTTGAGAGGACTGGAGCATTACATGGAAATGTCAGAATGTGAAAGAACACTTCACATTTTGCTTTCCTGAAAAGGTTTCATTAAAACTGGTAACATAGCAATGTTTTCTTTGTTGTTGAAAAGTTTGTAATTTCAGTGGTTTTGTAATCCCAGTATTTTCATAAGTATATTTTAATAATCCTTGAGGATAACACTGTAATTTATATTTACTGCAACAATTGCAAATTCTTGAAAAAGTCTATTATTTTCTCCATACTGTTCACAATAATGTTTTTTAATATAAATAATAAGCAAGGGCAATGTTAAATAAATCAGTTCTCCCATTAACTTTTAAAACAATTTGCAAGCACCCATCTTACATCCGGTTTCTTTGAATCATAAAAACACACAGCTTGAAATCTCAAACTTTTCCACAGATCTAAACACTCTTCTGAAATACAGCCATAACTCAGACTCCTAAACACCCCTGCTTGCCAGGGTGTGTATGATCTGCTTCATTGTTAGATGTTATTTTTCTTCCTGCTAAGATATATTTTGTTTGAGACTTGAGTTCGGTAATAATGTGGAAAAGATGGGAATGGGAATAACAAAATTGTTTGCTCTCAGTTTCACTATGACTGTCACTAACTTTTTTCCAATCTTTGATGCAAAAGTCATAAACAGCCCTAAAAAAAGTCCTAAAAATAAGCAAGACAAACACAAAAAAGGCAAAGAGATATTTTAAATGGGAGATATGTGGGGTTCCTCTAGTTTATTATTTACCACTACAGAATGTAAATTATATCAACAGTTCTGTTTTTCAGAATCAGTCTGAACCAGAGGCTCCCTCAAAGCAGTTAACTGCCTGCTTGAAGTACAACCGAACAAAGGCTGATTTGAGTGGAGACATACAGCTCCACAGACACAAAAAGGCATTTGGGTAAACCATTTACTTAATTCCTCAGCCTCCAAAGAGACAGCTGCTGATGAATATTTATTATCAACTAATTTGTAATGCTTGACTAATAACTTGGGCGACTTCCAGCACTCCGCATTAATCCAAACACTAAAGACTGCACTTTTTCCTGAAAAATTCACGATGAGGGCACTGAGTCCTTCAGAATTCAGGTAGCTCAGAAATACTGCCTAAATTCAAATAGAATCATAGAATAGTTAGGGTTGGAAAGGACCTTAAGATCATCTAGTTCCAAACCCCCTGCCATAGGCAGGGATACCTCACACTAAACCATCTCACCCAAGGCTCTACCCAAGCTGTCCTTGAACACTGCCAGGGATGGAGCATTCACAACTTCCCTGGGCAACCTATTCCAGTGCCTCACCACCCTCACAGTAAAGAACTTCCTCCTTATATCCAATCTAAACTTCCCCTGTTTAAGTTTGAACCCTCTACCCCTTGTCCTATCACTACAGTCCCTAATGAAGAGTCCTTCCCCACCATCCCTATAGGCCCCCTTCAGATACTGGAAGGCTGCTATGAGGTTTCCACGTAGCCTTCTCTTCTCCTGGCTGAACAGCCCCAACTTTTTCAGCCTGTCTTCATACGGGAGGTGCTCCAGTCCCCTGATCATCCTTGTGGCCCTCCTCTGGACTTGCTCCAACAGTTCCATGTCCTTTTTATGTTGAGGACACCAGAACTGCACAAAATACTCCAAGTGAGGTCTCACAACAGCAGCGTAGATGGGCAGGATCACCTCCTTCGACCTACTGGTCACACTCCTTTTGATGCAGCCCAGGATACGGTTGGCTTTCTGGGCTGCAAACGCACACTGAAGCCAGCTCATGTTCATTTTCTCAGTGACCAAAATCCTAAATCCTTCTCCGCAGGGCTGCTCTGAATTTCTTCTCTGCCCAACTTGCAGCTGTGCCTGGGATTGCTCTGACAATCCATCTCTGGCAATTCCATCTCTTCTTCTCACACAGTCTTCAGGTGTTCAGCACAATTGACCCACTGTCAGAGTGTCCATTTCTGAGATATCATTCTCCAGTACTTTTATTACTGATTAGACCTGATTCTCAGGGATTTTCACCCTGATTAGCTCTGCTTCTGTTGAAGGCAATACATTAAACCACAGGAGGTAAAGGACACTTTCTCTGCCATACCTGATGAATTTTTAAATTCCTTTTCAAAAACATTATTTTTGTCTCTACTTTTCTATATGTAAGAATGGATAGGCAGACTACCCACAGATCTACATGTGTCTTGGTTCTAACTTTGGCTTTTCACAGTCCTGATACCTTTAGAGCCAAGCAACCCCTGCTCTTCCCTGGCTTTCAGTGGCAACAAGCTTGTTCCATGTAGACAAAGGTCCAGTTTTATGAAAGTACTTAACTTGTAGATACACAATATCTGTCCAGCAGGTTACTTCACTGATGACAATAGAAAATTTGACTAAACATTTCTAGGTAGTTATAATTTTTTTGTTGTTGCACTATTTGAGATTCTTCTTTTGCCTTTTCTCCCTAAAGAGATACAAGAACAACTGCAGGCAATGCCAAGCTGTTTAGGAAACATGAATGCAAAAAAGGTCTCAACAGACAGTGATTAGTGATCATTAAACAGTGAGGAAGAATGAGAAGTGTAAGAAATAGACTACCAGGAAATAGAAGAAACTGCCAAGGGAGATCCAGAATTTCCATTCTTGTAAAGAATTGAGTCCTAGTTATACAGATTTAATTTGGAATAGTTAAATCAATTACACATTAAATACATTTTTTCAGAAAGAATAGAGTCAGTGAGCCACTAGAAGTCCCTTTCTACCAAAATAAACATGCTTTATGAAACACATTATGTTTATTAACTATTTGGGGGGGGGTGTTGTTATGTCCATGATGACCATTCAGTACAGTCACAAAGAAAAGTAAGCCCTGCTCATTTCAGCTCATCTTAAGGGAAATACGGTACTTTAAAAAGTGTATTCATAATGAGAATTAATCCTTAGCAATGAATGCAGCTTTATTTCTCTGCAGGATCTGAATTCCATTCATATGCAGAAACAGAAATATTTAGTATGAGAGGAAATGTTCTCCATCATTCTCAAAGGCCAGATTATAATACAGGGGAAAGAAATTATGTGAAAATGTCGGTCATTAACAAAATACACCAAACTCTCCTGGAAGTTATCATACTTGGAGAACAGTAATGCCATGACTCCAGTAACCTGAGGTTGTCTAACGAGGAGTGGGTAAGGCATTCTGGGCAATTCCTTTTACTAGGTAACATTATGTTGCAAGCAGCTTTATAATTCAGTGAAAAAAGACATAATAAGAAATTATGTCTGACTGTTACGGAACTGAATAAACTGAGTATAGTACAGTCTACTATTAGCCTCCCAATTAGGTAATCATAAATGTTCAGTGTTTTATATTTTGCTTGATAAAAACCGCACGTGTTTCCTCATTTCCCAAAGCATTTACTTCTTGCATTACTAAAGGTCTTCAGTCATCTCACAGTCCTGTGCAGACAGATGTTTACTTCATCCTCCTCCAATAAGGCAGACACTGGCATACCTTGCCTTTCACAGATACATGCAAACCTAGCAGCCTGCACACAATACCAGAGAAGGTCAGAACACAGAGGGAGGATAACCAGGTCATTAATTCAATTGTAGGCTTAAACAGAAAGCTCTCATAGCAAGGACATCCAAAAAGGATTACTAATTCTTTTAAGAAGTTGTGTAGGTAATTAAGAACCCTTAAAAGCTACAAAACTAAGTGGGCGTATTTTTAATTTAGTGAAAAAAATAAAATAGCAGGAAATGTAAGACTGTTTTGTTGAGTTCCAAGGATAATTGTGATTTTTCTACCATCTCACAATCGCAATCTTCATTCAGTGCAGTATCAGCTATTTCCTTGTTGTAATGTATTTCAGCTGGCAGTTTATTTTCTTATACTCATTTTGTAGATAGACATCACAGTTGGAAAAACCTTTGACAGCATTTTTAAAAGCGTCCCTTTTTTTTTTACTGTTTTTCCACCACATAAACAGAACTCTAATTACATCTGCATTTCTGCTTCTCACTCTTAATGCCTTTCAGTTGCAGATTAGCAGTTACTGAAGATGGTACTCTGATTAGGCTCCTAAAGCAGGTTGACTCAGGATAAGTGATTGCACAATGTTAATCACATCATGTCTGAGAGCACACAGTGGTTGTTTCAAGGCAACAGTAAAATTACAGTCAACAAATGAAACGTGAACATGTTTCTGCTGCTCTTATACTGGGACAGTGTATGGCAGAGGTAAAATAATAGTAAAAATAGCCACATTAGCAATGTAATATTTTCAGACTAATGTAAAATAAATCAAGATCATCTGGGTTTTGAAGACATTAAAATGTTTTCAAATGTACAGACTTAATGGAAAAAATATCAAAAAATACAGAAAACTGAATATGATCCTTTCCATAATCACTTATTTTCATGGCCTGTGCTATCATAATATATTCTATTCAATTTAACAACATTTTATAACTTACGTCATAGAATGTAAAAGGCCACAGCTCATTGTGAAAATTATTGTTGATCTTGGCAAAAACAGAGGTATATCTCAGTCAAGAAGTGTCAAATAAAACAAAAGATTTTTGTTATACTCTGGTAAGTGGAGGATATGGATACTTGGCATAATTTACAGTTATAATTTCAATTGTACATTCCCATTCATTACTGAGTATGTTTGTACTGTGCTCATTTGAGTTTCACTTACCTCTTCACATTAATGTGTGCGTGTGTATACACATACTTCTATACATAGACATGTATACATCAGGGCAAACCCCCCCACTATTATGATCATTTGGGTATGATTCCTACATAATACAGCATTCGGAACAAGTCCAGAGGAGGGCCACAAGGATGATCAGGGGACTGGAGCACCTCCCGTATGAAGACAGGCTGAGAAAGTTGGGGCTGTTCAGCCTGGAGAAGAGAAGGCTGCGTGGAGACCTCATAGAAGCCTTCCAGTATCTGAAGGGGGCCTATAGGGATTCTGGGGAAGGACTCTTCGTTAGGGACTGTAGTGACAGGACAAGGGGTAATGGGTTAAAACTTAAACAGGGGAAGTTTAGATTGGATATAAGGAGGAAGTTCTTTACTGTAAGGGTGATGAGGCACTGGAATGGGTTGCCCAAAGAAGCTGTGAATGCTCCATCCCTCGCAGTGCTCAAGGCCAGGTTGGACAGAGCCTTGGGTGAGATGGTGTAGCGTGAGGTGTCCCTGCCCATGGCAGGGGGGTTGAAACTAGATGATCTTAAGGTCCTTTCCAACCCTAACTATTCTATGATTCTATGATTCACTGAAACTAGACCAACCACACCTTCAAGTTCCGTCAAAGAGTAGTTTACCTCACTCAATGATATGAAACAATGAACAAGAAAAGGAATACGTTAATATATGAGCATTTTGATTAAGTCTCTTATTTCTTTTTACTTATCCTCTATCAGAATTCATAAGTTTGGGAAAATATTTTCTTTCTTGTTCATTTCCTAGAGAGCTTATTTTGATATTATTCTAACACTACCTAGACAGCAGTCCTGCAGAGGCACAGCAGCACTCCCAGTGAAGCACTGTTTGATGAAGTTTTTAATTGAAACTAAATACGAGAACTTGTTAGAGTTTCTTTTCAGAGGTAACTACTTTGAATTTCAAAGCATCATTAGTGTTTACAGAAATCTTTCCATCAGGGAAGGTTAAATCAGTTTTAAAAGCTTATGTCTGTTCTTCATTTCCCAGAGAATTCATACCACTAAGGAGGTATCAATTGATTTTCAAGAATGTTCTGAAGGAGTGAAAACAATAACAGGAGTATACAACACTGTCACCAATGGTATGTTCTCTGACAGTATATATCTCAACAGAAAAAGCAAAGATGAAGAAGTATACTCTCCCAGTAGGGCAGTCTAAAATAACCTACTAGCATTATTTTTATACTTACTGCTTCATATATTTTCATATGCATTTCATTAAACTGCTCAATAGCACTCCAAGTAAAATCAGAGCATCATCTGGGAAACGTATATATATATCTCGATCAAAAACCACAAACTTCAATCACAGTTTCAGAGTAGGTAGACTACTTTCTCCTAATGTATTAATGGAGTGGAGAAAGCACTCTGACTCACCAAAAGTCAATGTCCATGATAAAATCCAGATGCCACTGTCTCCATTCACAATACTGAGATCAGCCACAAGCTCATACAAGCCTATATTTTATGGACAATTAAATCTGAGTGTCCAAATATGAAGCTGAATCCAGCCTCTTGTCTCCATCTTTTCCAAAAAAGATAGCATGGAAGCTTACAGTGAATTACTCCAATATTACAAGATTTTTTAGTCCCATTTATCAGATATTAACTCAACCACAAATCTTATATCATACTGTCTTTAATATATCTCTTCTTTGTCTTCTTTCATATATACCTCTGCTGACTTTGAAGAGAAAGATACTTTGTTCAGATTTGTTTCTAAGAGGCTTGATTTGTGTGGCTCTCCCACCTTCAGAACTTCCACTTGCCTCATACTTAGAAAAAAAACACTGAATGCTTGCTCTCTTTTTAACTACCTTCTTTCCTTGGTCCATTGTATGCTAACTGCCTGCTTTACCAGCTATAAACATGGAACAAAATTATTCCAGAAGCATGTATTGATATCTTGGAGGGGGGAAGGAGGGAGAGAGAGTGGAGGGGAAACAATTTCCAATCTATTACCTTTTTATTGTTTCTTAAGCATGATTCTGAGCTTTTCTCAGTTTCCTTTTTGACGGCTTCCTGAAGATCAGAGGCTTGTTGTATATATGTTAATGCTGCCAGTATCTCATTTTCTAACAGTATTACATCTTCATAGGAAATTGGCCATTCCAAATTCTCTAAAGCTTCCAGCAAAGCTTCTTTATGCTGCATATATTGGACTGGCCCATCCTCTTTAAATCTTGAATATAATATAAGTTCAAAAAAATGAATAATCACAAGCAGAAAAAGAATTAACAATACTTTACAAATATAATCACAAAGGGTAAAGGCAGAATAAAACATCAAATTCATTCAATCAATCTTCTGTATACCACAAGTTCTTGCGTTTCATTTAGCTACTGTTGTGTTTGTCAAATAATCACATCTGTTTTAACCATGTGTCATAGAAAGACATCTACAGATCTAATGCTCAGATGGCTGAGCATTAGATATCATCCAGTGCCATTTTAGATATCCTAGAGCATGTGATTCAACATAGAATAAATATATCAATAAGGAGCTTGCAGTTACAACTGAGAAATCATGGAAATCCCTGGCCTTTCTGAAGCAGCAGCTATGGTGAACTGGAAGCATCTAGGCAATCTAAAATGGCAAAAGACATCTACTAAGTCTCGATTTGCCACATTGCTCTTGACTGACCACATAAAAAAGAGACAATCTCCTTTTGTTTATTGTTCCGCCAGTCTTGCACTGCTCAGTCATATTCAGCAATCAGGAGTGTGATTCCATCCATGCTTCAGATTATGTTAATGCCCACTTGATTAAAGAGCCAGTTTGAAGATACATACTGAAGGTACTTATAAACCAAAACGCCAATTAGATACAGTCAACTTGATAAAAACCAAACTCCAAAATCCAGAAGAGGTAGAATTCTTTACATCTCCAATTGGAAGTAACAGACTTCTTTTCAGTACTTAAACAGTAGCTCTTTTGAGGCTTTTCTCTACAGCTTTGCCAACATTTTAAAATATGTGAAACCTAGAACTGGGGAGAGTATTTAAGTGTCTGTCTTATCAACACATACATCCATGGTGATGCCTACCACATTTCCCTAATCTTTGGCACTGCTTATCTTTCCTCTCTAGGAACTGCCTTGTATTGAAATTAACCTGACCAGTATAGCTATTTACCTAGATCTTGTTCTCTATTACCTGAATCCATTATTAATTTATAATCAATGTCAAGCAAACTTACCTCCTGAATTGTATTCCCCAAGCATTTTGAACACAAGCACAAAATTACCACTTCTCTAGTAAATTTTAATTTCCTCAGCATCTGAGATAAGATTTAAATACATACTAGCAAACCAGAAAGCTCCTCAATCAATTATTTCTGGACTACTGTAATTGAGTTAGTAGACTTTATTATTCTTTCCTTCCTGATTACTGATTTGGAAGTATATTGTCATCCTTTTCTAGTACCTGAAAATGATCATTCAGATTGTAAGTTTGGAAGAGAAATACACCAAATATTTCAACTCCATGCACTACTATTAATGATTTAAATATGTCTCTCTAGCAACAGACTGTACAATCATTGATAGGACTTTTTTTTTCTTATGTACACAATTAGCCATATATTACCAATAATAAAATGTCTTCAATACCACCCTGTCAAATTCTTATACTTTACAACTCATTGTCTATCAACAGACATCTACTTCTTTTTTTCTTTAATTCTGTGATGTTCTTTTGTTTGACAGTGTTCACTTTCTCCCTGCACCAGAACGGGGTTTTAGTTCTTCTTAGTTCTCTGTGTATTTTTTTCTCAGTAGCTTAAGTAGTCTTAAAAACATTCTCATTTTCAATACCATTTTTCTACCTAGGAATATCTCATGCCTATTCACTTTATTCTCTGAAGTAAAGAGAATCTAACTTCACTGATGTCAGTCTTATTTATACTGTCACTAGTTTTCTAAATCAATATATGGAAATTAGCTAGTTAAAATAGTAAAAAATTCCAGTGTGACATACAGTTCCAGCTCATGCTGTAAAGGTGCTTATTATTCCTTTACAAACCAGTCACTGAAATGTTTTTTACAGGATGAGAGATTTAACTTGATGCCAAAGGCAATGATATGCTGCCCTCCCAAGGCCCTGCCACTTGACACTGATTAAGAACAGACCAGCACATTCAACTAGAATGCAAGTCTTTTCCTTTAAAAATAATCAGCAATGCAAGAATAATGTCCAGAGTTTAATACTGCTCCATATCACATATTCATTGGTGAAAGTAAAGTATACATATATCTGATATATTTGAAAATAAAACCAATTGGTTACAGAAATATTGATAAAAAGTATCAAATATTTATGATCAGCCTTTCAGAGGTAGGTTAGAAAACTGAAAGGTGGTAACTTACTTGTCTCTTTCCTCCTGAGGGAGTGCTCTCCAAATAAATATATTTAGGCGCCTATTAAAGAAAAGAAGGTCGTTTTTGAGGGAATACAGTTCCTTGTGCATCCGATCATCTCAAAGCTAGCTAATAAACAGTTTCTTATGATATCTGCATTGATTTGTATTCCAAGAGCACTGCTTCATCAGACTGTACCCTCATCATTCAGCTATGAAATTATCAACTGCAAGAGAAGATGGGAAAACAGCATCTTCCATCAAGTAGAAGCATGACTATTTCAGGGTCATAGAAGGATTAATGGCAATCACTGCTGCTTCTTGCCAGGATTTTCTGTGGATGGTTCTCATCAGCACCAGCATGTTAAATCAAATAACAAAACTGATTAAATGCCAGTTAATCTAAACACAGTTCCTCCAATTAAACAGTTTCAGAAAACTGTATCCTGGAGACACACAGAGAGAAATGCTATTTAATTATTGATTGTTTTCCTGCTAAGATAACCTCTCAGTTGTGCCATTCAGGTTTCTATTTTGTTAAACTCTGGATATGAACAAAATCTACTGACAGGAAAACAGAAGGGATTATCCCAAAACAGTGCAGTTCTGAGATCTTTTAAAAATACAACTAAACTTTCTGCTTTTGCTTTTTAGACATAAATTATAAACTCTCATTGGGTCATTTAGCTTGCAGTTTTCACTGTTGACATCTCAAATAATTAAGCCATCACTCAATTATTTCATTTCATACTACAGAAATAAACCTCTACTGAGATTGCTGTAATTGTAGAAAAAATTCCAATCTTCCTTTGGAAATACAAGAACAAACTCATTGTTAGGAAAAATTCAGATTATAACCATCAAACTTTTAACAGTCCTGCCAGATTTACTGGTGCATGTACAAAAAAGCTTATTAACACCAGATTTTTAATATTAATTTCCAATGATTGATTTTATCTACTAGAAACCAAACCCCAGCAGTTTTAGAATGTAAATCACTTCGTTCATTCACAGTCTGCAGTCTCAGCATGCACTAATTAAGCTTATTAAATTAAGCTTATTTCAAACTTCTTAATGTGCGCACTCGTAACTAACTCATTTGTAAAAGCTTTTGGCTATAGATCATAGATATTTTGAAGCTTCCAGTGGTTTTCTCCTGAAGTACTGGATATTCACTTTGTTAGAGTACAGAATTTTTGCCTTTGCCACTTTTCTCCCACTAAATCTGATGCTATGGTCAATCTATGTATAGGGGAGATACTGTTATGCTTGCTTCTGTTCTTGAAACCTGCATGCCCTGCTATATTGTCTCATCTATAGATGTCAGAATAAATTTGTGACCAATCACTATTCACAAAGCTGAACTGCAGCCTCTGCAAATTCAATTACTGGAAAGGTATTGTGCATTTAGAGCAAAATAAATTTGATTGTGTTGTTGTTTCACATGTAGAGGAAAAGCCATGAGAACTCTTTTTTACGTTGTCAATTACAAGGACCTTCAGGCAGATCTCTCTTCTATCCATCTTTTTCGCAGAAGTACTGAACCCGATTTACTATTGTAAATGCACTGATTCATTGACTTGTACAAGTAAACATAAGTAAGCAGTACTCCAAATCACCAAAATTATAGGAAGACTGTAAAATGCTGTCAGATCATCAGAGTTTAACCAGAAAACACTTTTCTTTCCCTCAGAACTGAAGCCAGTAAATGTAAAATATGCAATGGTATGGCACAGAAAAGAAAAATTCAATATTTTTTCAGAAGCCACCATAAAAAATTCACCACTTGATCCTTCTATCAAAGTGAATAAAAAACTGAGATTTCCTGAGTTCTTCATCAGCCTGATAATAACAGTTTTGTCTCAGTGACTGAGCACACAAACCCAGAAGATTTTTATTCACCGAATTTCATTAAGATTAGATATAGCAAGCAGCATTCGCAAATCATAACTCTTAATTTTTACCACAAAAGATGGATACATTCAGAAATAGGACATGGGACTGAAAAACAGAGCTATTACATGTTTTGAAAAGAACTGGTATGATCATAGAGCTACAGAGGGAAGAAAAACCTTAAAGGTTCTCAGTGGAATTAATCAAAAAATAAAGACTAAACATTTATCATTGATGTTATTTTTTGTCATCTAAAATAATTACATCTGTAAATGGTATTAGAATACAGTCTGAAAAAAGATATATCTTATTTAGTTAAGCAATTCTAGTCAAAGCTCTCCTAAGTTTACTGAATGACAGTAGTAGTCAAATAATGGCATTACTTAAAAAAAAATCCACAAAGTTAGGCCAAGAAAAGAAATATCTTAGAGATCTAATGTCCTTGTCCTGTTTACTTCTGATGTGTTTTTACTAACATTTAGTTAATATCTCTCATACTTCTCTTTCTCAAAAAAAAAAAAAAAAATTGTATCTTAAGGGTGCCTCAGTTACATTCTTGCATCCATAGTTTGGTGCTAGGCAGCTGGCAGCAAAGAGCAGGCCACTAATTTAAAAGTCAGTCTATGGATTTAGGAGCTTAACTGTAAATTAAAAGCCTGGGTACCACTGTATGTTTGGGGGATATTCCTCCTTAGGGGTTTCTGCTGTCAAGTTTATTCACAGAAAGTCAAAGAATGATTTAATTTTTTTAGCACTGAACATTTATTATTTCTTAGCCTATTATCTGGGTCTGTTAATCCTACTTTTTTTTTTTTTTTTTTTGATTAAGAAAACAAACATTCCTTCTACAGGTAGATGGTGGATTAAAGTATGTCAATGTGCAGAATTACCAGTATTAAGCAAAGCATGTGTGAGTGAATATCAACTACATAGGAAAAACCTGAGATAAGACTACAAACTTGATGAATTTCTGATGAGTAGACTTGCCTTTCATAGGATTTAATTGCTTGTTCCAGCTTCTCTTTATAGGCATCAAGATTCACTGCCTGAGGATTAATTAGTGTGATCCACTTCTTGTTGTTGCTAATGTGGGCCAATGGTAGGATCTATTATAAAATAAAAGACAAAAATTTCATTTATCATACAACTTTTCCTCCACCAGTATAACTGAATGCCTATGAGACCATGTCTAAGGATCAGAACAGCCAGAGGGACAACTGTAAGGCTGCAGAAAGATCTGAGCACCCCAAGAAATGACAGAATTAAGACATAGATTCCAGCCCCCTAATAAAATCTTCTGAAATTACACAATCCCTTTATGTAGAAGTTGCAAATTAAGATTCCTAACTACTAGTTTAGTCTAACTAAATCAGTACTGCTAAACAATTCACTTTAATATTGGAAGGGTTGGTCAGAAGGGAGACAAGAATGTCTGAAGCACAACCATATTCCAGGTTGTATTGCTTTAAAACAACACTCTATTAGTATCTAATTCTAGCATACAGGTGTGTTAGTTACTTTTTTAATGTATTTAATACTCTTATTCTGGAGGACCATATTTTCTAAGGAACTGGAGTACTAAAAATGAAGAGAGACATTTTTAACCATTGCACTGATCACCAAAGAATGAACAAGGTGGATATTGCTCACTGAAAATAGTCTTACTTTACCATAATAAGACTTAGGAACTGATAAGACTTAGGAATAAGACTGATTCTGCCCAACCTGGGCAGAATCAGGAACTTCAATACCTTTCAAATCTCAAAATACAACATTGACATAAGTCAACCTCTTTACAAAATAAAAATCATACACTTACAAGTAGATCTTCAAAAGGCAGAGAAAAAGGTAGAAAAGGATGACAGAAAGGAGTAAAGATGCTTTCTCAATCTGTCCGTCCAAAGTCCCACCACTATTCAGCCTCTTAAACTACTCAGCAGTTCATGTAAGAAAAGTATTCTGGTTTTAGCTGGGATCGAGTTGTTTTGTTCAGGGTTTTATTTTTTTCTCAGTAGCCAATACAGTGCTGTGTTTCGGATTTAGTATGAGAACAATGTTCATAACACACTGATGTTTTAGTTGTTGCTCAGTAGTGCTTGCTTTAAGACAAAGACTTTCCAGTCTCTCATGCTCTGCCAGTGAGGAAGGGCACAAGAAGCTGGGCAGGAGTAGAGATAGGAAGGCTGACCCAAACTAGCCAAAGGGATACTCCATACCACAGAATGTTATGCTCAGTATAGAAACTGGGGGAGTTGGCCAGGAGCCACCAATCACTGCTTGGGGACGAGCTGGGCATTAGTCAGCAGGTGGTGAGCAATTGTATTGATCATCACTTGTGTTTCCTGAGTTTTACTCCTCTTTTTTTTCCTAATATATTATTGTTTTGTTATTATTGTGACTATATTTTAGTTTATTTCAATTATGTAACTGTTCTGATCTCAATCTGCAGATTTTGTGTTTTTCCAGTTCTCCCCCTATCCCACAAGGCAGTGGGGAGGACTCAACAGGGGAACTTAAACAGGGGAAGTTTAAATTGGATATAAGGAGGAAATTCTTTCCTGTTAGGGTGGTGAGGCACTGGAGTAGGTTGCCCAGGGAGGCTGTGAATGCTCCATCCCTGGCAGTGTTCAAGGCTATGGTTTAGTGCGAGGTATCCCTGCGCATGGCATGGGGGTTGGAACTTGATGATCTTAAGGTCCTTTCCAACCCTAACTATTCTATTTTATGACTAGGGGGAGTGAGCAAGCAGTTGTGTGGTACTTAATTGGTGGTTGGCGTTAAACAATGACAAAAAACTCTTTTATACATCAGTGTCCTGATAATGATTATAAACAGAAAGAAATCCAAGAAATAAATGGAGTAGATGGGGAATGTTACTCTCCCCAGAAATGCCGCCAACACGTATGGTTAAGTGGGAAGCTTCTCCAAGTGCCTGTCTGAGACCAGGATATAGATGACAAAAAGATGGAGGAGGTTCAATTTAAATAAATCTAAAACCCCTGTTGGGGGAACAAGGGAAGCAATCAGAAAATAAAATACTAAAAAGACTTCTTTAATGAGAACATTTTTCAGGGATGTTTTATTTGTGTTTGAATCATTACAGCCTAGCTGGATTCCAAATTACTGTAGTATGACCATTTTTTTCAGAAGCACTTTATATTTCTTGTATATATATAACTACCCATGAGATTCATATGACTTTAAATTCCCCTCTCTTTCTGAAGACATCTTTTCTCTCATTAACAAATCTGTGTCACATCAGTGCCAGACCACATCTAAGTTCCTAATACTGAATTAATGTTGAGATCTCTTAGAAGCTAAAGTTAATGGGAACATGTTAGTGTGAAGTATCTTGCCAGAGACAGATGAGGTAAATCTCTGCCCAGAATTGTAAGCCATGAAATCTCGCTACCTGTCATTTTCTGGAGGAGCTTGAAAGCTGAAAGGCAAGAAACAGAGTACCTCTCTTTCAGTTTCATATTGCCATGGTTGTTGTCTGCTATGTTACTCAAACCAAGTTAATAAAAATTCAGCAGGGCTTTACCATGCAGAAGCCCGCTGTTACATTTCCTAACAAATTTCTAGAGTAACTCCAAGTACAAACAGCATCACTTGCAAAATTAATATTTAATACAGTTTATAAAACACTTTGAATAGAATATGAGGGGCAGACAAACACAAACACATTATTATGGTATTGAAGAGTAAAAGCAGAATGGAATGTCTTCTAAGCAAATAGTAAACTTGAAATACTATGTGGAATGGCATTTAGAGCTTCATGATACACAACTTATTGTAAATTTTACAGTCTCACAATTGCCTACACCTATCAGAATTAAATTTTAATTACTGAATTCCAATATTTTTCAAAAGGTCTTAGCAGACCCATGTAAACCTTGAGAATGCACAGATACATGAACTGTGCACCTGCAAAGTTTTCCAAATGGATTTATGGACCTAAAATGAATACTCCAGTGAATTAATATGTCTCAGTAGAGGCTATGGTGCTCAAGAAATTGCTGGATACCTGATGGCTGCACACTGCCATCAACTGGTAACTGGGAAAGAAAAATTTTTAGCTCTAAAACTTAACTACCAAGTCTGCAAGAAATACTATTAACTATCATTTTATCTTCTTACTGATGTATGAATAAACATTCAGATATGCGTTACACATTTAGTGGACATCAACCATCCACAATAAACACTAGGGAATGCAATTATGACATTTATAGAAATTAATAAAAACATCTTTCTAAAAACAGTATTAAGTGGAGTTTTTTTGTTTGATTTGAAAGAGCGTGTGCATTACCTCATCAAATACTTTAGAAACTACATGTTTGTCCAGAACTGGGATGTATTTGGTACCACGAGGAACAGCTGTAGGAGCTAAGGCATCCATGATGGTGAGTCGCCTAGCAACCAAGCCATGGGTCTTTAACCAAAGAGCTGACGACATATCTAAAGAACTAGAAAAAAAAAAGAGACTGTTAGTTGTAGCACAAGGTAGAAATACATTTGAGAAGTTTGAAATTACAGAAGAAAAATATAAATAATTTGTGCGATGTATGTATATATGTGCCCAGACGTACCTTTTAGATGCCCTTTTCACAGATTTCTGCAGCTTCAGATCTAAGATGAAACATTTGCATTTCATTAGCTCACAACTTTTGTGCACAGAAAAGTATGCAAATATAAACTGACATATAATAGCAGCATTTTTTTTTATTTTAGCTTACTAGCAGTGTCCCAAAGACGATACAGTAATCACAGTAATGTCTAATTAAAATGCTAAATTAATCAATAAGAATTGTGTTTCCTGTGTTTCTTGTTGCTTGATCAATAGTAACAATGCTACTAGATGACTCATAAGCCCTAATTAATCAATGAGGACATTTATAAAATAGTTGGGGAATAATTTAATTTAAAAGAAAAATAAACTGGATATGTGTTTATTTATTACAACAACGACAAGAAAAAGACTATCTGGTTTATTTCCCATTTCAAGATGTGATACCAATACTAGTGATACCAGTAGCGAGATGGCAGGGAGTAGCTAACCTAAGGTATATTGCTATGAAAATCTGCATAAAAGGTATATAAAGAAATAACACACTGAAATGTAAAAAAAGTCAAACATCTTTAAGTATATAGGTGACATTTTAGAACAACTTAGAGGACCTAATATAAAGTTCAGAGTTCCATGAATTCCTGAGAGACAAGAAAACTATCTGGATGTATATGCAAGCCCCACAGGAAATACTTTTGTCTCTGTATACGCACCTATCCCAGAGAGCATGTTTTTTTGCAAGTCTAAGCATACTAATAAAGTGCAACCTCCTTTTACAGGGGTACCAAAGAATTTGAATCACCGTTCAGCTTTAACCTCAGCATTGAACGTAACTACAAATTACTGTATCTCAACAATCTATTAGTGTATAACAAGATTCTCAAGATGTATTTACTCTGTTGATAAGAAGCAACTGTGATACCCTTCCAGCAGTGTAAGGCATAGTTGTATCACTGCTGCCTCATATTGTGGAAATGACTAAGCTGTTGTAAACCTAATAGTTTGGGCACAGGCAGAAGTCTGGCCGCACATGTAAGGGCCTTGTTACAATATCCTTCTGCAAGTCCAGCTCTCTCCATCTGATCTGTGTTCCAATCCTTTGTGCTGCATTTCTGCGCAGGCTTTTGACTGAAAGGAGGCACCATTAGTTACAAATGCAGCAGGAGAAATGTTATTGTCTGCCCCACCTGTTCTGGCAGACTCCTGTCCTGGCAACTTGCCTTCGCAAGTGGTGGTACATTTCACACTCTTTTTGACAGAAAACCTCTTTTTTTCAGGAGATACTCCTTCCTCTGCGCTTTCTTCCCTAGATTTCCTCAGGATTCGCAGCAGACTCGTCTTTGTTTGCTCTGTAGGTGTTGAAAGGGAAAGAAAGGAAGAGCTAACTTATTGCTCAAATACGTGCCTGGGATTTTTGAGCTCCCCTTTGCTATTCAGTCTCAATTTTTAAGGGAGTGCCTACACAAGACTTCAAGCACGATCAGTCCTAACTTGTACTTTGTACTTTTCCGAGGATGAAAACTACTTTTACATCAGCTGAGTAAACTTGGTTTCAGACTGCATACAAAGCATACTTCAAAGAGAAGCTTAGTGTTCCAGGTGTAATAAGCAGAAATATTAGTATGAGCAATGCTGTAACTAATGAAACATAGATCAGGTCTTCATTCTTGCCAATGATGTACTTATTTAGAATAAAAAGAGATAAGGGTCTAATAATTACTGCTAAAAAAACTATTTGAAGAGCTTTCAAAACAGTTTGTCAAAATTTTTTTTCATTGCAGTGCCTGCTACGAACCATAAGTGAGCAGACATCTGTTTGCCTGTTTGGACCAAATAAGTAAGATGGCCAAAAAGTAAAAATTACAAAAGTTAGAATTTCAGAAGGATGATTGTTTAAATCAGTAAAGGATTTATTTATTCCTACAAGGGTGCTTTTTTGCTATTTTTAACAGAATCTTTTCAAATTAATGAATGAATTCTGCTAGTAACTACAGTTCATTTTAGTCTTACCTGCATATAATGCTTTCTTCCTTTGGGATGGACTGTCAGCAGTAGTTTGCCAGGTTTGCTGATGTGGTGTCAGTGTTGGCTCTTCTGAAGCACAGCACGTCCTACTGCTAAGAGTAAAAGTACTCAGCTCCTCAACATGTTTGTTTACAGATGACACAGTATATATCTGCTTGTGATTTCTGCTTGTGACAAAAAGAAGAAAGAAGCAGGAAAAAGCTTCAAGCATATGACACTGGTTGAAAAAATTGCTAAGTTGTAGTCTTCTGGAAATTTGAATACTAATTTCACATGCTTCAAACTGTATAAAATATTTTCTCTATTACCCAAGTCTGCATTTCAAAGGGGAGTTCAAACATTAAAAATATTCTTATTTTTTTAAACTATTTAAAAGTAACTTCTTAGTCTGTTTAAAAGATGTGCATTACTTTTAAGGCAATACCCTCATATATTTTTAATAGGTTAGAATATTCCATAATAGCCACTTAGAGTCCTGAGGGGAAAGCATAAACCTACAATCATCAAAGAAAATAACTGACACACAAATCTATCTATCTATCTATCTATGCACATATGTGTATATATATATACACACACATTTATACCTATGACCCAGCATGAATAAAATATAAAATATGCAAATTCTGAAATAAACATCTACATTTTCACACTGGACAACCCACCTGCCCTTCTACATGGAATCTTTCCACAGCACTTTTCACTTTCAATATATTTTACTATCTTTTTAATAATTTTAACTTACTGTTTTTAATAGATTTATGTCTTACAAATCTAGGCATTATTAAATATACTTTTGGGGGGGGGAAACTATTTTTTTATTAAGGCTATTCTCCTGTTGAGATTACAAGTAACTTCATATTGAAAGTTAGGTCTGTGTTTGTTCTGAAAACAGAAACTCAGTATAATCAGACATGCAGAAAGCTTTTCCACAGTAGCTCAAGAGTCTGCCTTCAATATGCTGTAGAAGGACCATTTTTTTAACTGTTGCTCTTGGCATCCTGAATTTTTCAGCATGTTTTTCAACTGATGCTGAACATGAAACTAATTTTAATGATGACAAAGCAAGGGTAAATATGGCATGGACATTCAGACTCACATGGTAAAATCAAAAATGTGAAAAGAAGCTGAATTTCATTCGTAGTCTTTGCTGTCTTTTAAACAAATACATATATATGTAATTTATGTTTCAATCAGTGTGTCCCAATGAGCAGCAATTTACTCATGAAGTACCAGGCCAGATCTACCTGTAGGACAATAGTTTTTTGTGTATCCTCTCAGAGGGAAGTATTTTACCATATGCTGGAGACAGAAATATATTTTCACCTTTTTGCTTTAATTATTCCTAATAATTTGAGACTATTCAGATATTTGAGATAATTTTGGCTCAGACATCACAGTACCAAAGTGATTTCCTGTCTTTTTTGTAACTGTTTAAAACAAACAAACAGAGAACCTTTCTTTTTCAAAGAGGAGAATGTCAGAGGTTAAAAATGTATGGCAATGAGAAAGGAGAAATGCGACAAATAGCTCCTATCTCTTATTAACATAATAGCAGTATGAGGACATACTTATTCTCTAAATCATTTTCTCCATTACAACAATCCATCATCAGACATTTGGCGTGAAAGGTCTTCACTTTCTCCAGGTCTCTTTCTCCTTGCTCAATCTCTCTTTTCAAAAGACGTATGTCTTCACTCTAACAAAAAGAAAATCATAGAATCATAGAATCCCAGAATCCCAGAATCAGAGAAGCATAGAATAGTTTGTGTTGGAAGGGATCTTCAAAGGTCATCTAGTCCAATCAAATGTTCTATTACAATTACTATTAAACATGCTTCATTTCTAAAACTGAAACTATGCAAGCTGTCATAATAATTCTGAATAACGTCTCAGGACAGCTGCAAAATTTTGTATACTTTTTCAGGTAGTCTCTTATACTCGGCAATACAGACTTCCAAATTACCCTTCCTTTTTAGGAAAAGGATGAACATTCCCTAACAAACCAGTTATTCCTTGAGATGTGAACATCATCACAATACGAACATATAAGAGATATAATCCTCACTAGCTCCCCTCACTCCCAGCAAGCAAACAAGTAAATAAGTAAAATATAATACAAGATATGTACATTACAAATGTTGTCCTGTCATTCTACAAATCACAGCTGTATCACATACTGTCCCTGATAAATGAGAAGTAAAAAACACACTCTTCAAGTAAACAATGGAACTAAATAGGAATCATTTGGACTACAGGAGGAAACAGGAAGGAAATTCCAACAATGAACCCTTTACAACTCCCACAGGGCCAGAAGTCTGGAGTTGGAGAACACAGACTGCCCCTCATCTTTCCAATATGCTCAGTTTCACACAGTCCTCTCCCAGCAGAATCATGGAAACTGCACAGTACACAGTCTAATACCTTTCAAGAGCTGGAGTATTTTCACTACATCTCCTGCTACTGTCTTGTTCCTGATTGCTGTCATTGTTCCACTACCACCGTTTCTAAAAGTTGTGGAACTAATTAACTCCAACCTTAATTAAAAAAAAAGAATATGCTTTAAATGGGTGTTTCTCATAGTCTATTCAGAAATTTCCTACAGGGAATTGCTAGATTGAGCTGCTTAGTCACACATGATAGATCACTGCTATTACAGTCATTTTACTTATTACAGATCTCTCCCCAGTGGCTACTGTAGAGCAAACTTTAGGCAAAATTCATAGAATCATTCCTTCATCATCATTCAAATTCAGCCTTGATATCTTTCATTTACTGGTATGATACAAACCATAGTTTTATTTTAAAAAGTAACTGATTTTTGAGACCACAGAGATCATATGTGTTTCTTCCAGAACTTAATTTGGTCTATACGTGTTTTAGGTTTTGATTTCAAGGGTTGGGGTTTTTTTGCAACAGTAGCACTACAAATGTACTTTGCGTGATATTTGGGCTTTTTTTTTGTTGTGATCTAGTACAAGCTCATAAGAAAAAATGTCAGACATTGCTTTCACATCACTTCAAATCTGGGTAGGATAAATCCTCTTTTTCAATGATCTCTTACATGAAATCACAATGATGTGAGTCATAGTTATTTCAATAGAATGATATGATATTTATATGATATGAAGACACAAACATTTATTTTCAGATACTCACAACAATAAACTCTGCAGCATCAGAATCAGTCAAATAAATGTTGTAATAATGGAACCGTCCCTCTGTTTCAGTAGATAGTTCATGCAAAAATTTATTAGCTTCTATATCATCACAGTTGAAAGACACAGTATGGATGGGAACTTTACAGTGAATCTGGACATGAGCCAAAATTACTGGGGGGGGCTGTAAATCAAAAATGTATATTAAACATATCTAGAAATGTATTTATGGAAACATGGAGAACAAGTATTTAATCAGTCATAGTGTTGCTTAGAGACAGATGTAGAGCAGTGAAAAGCATACATTTTATATGGATAGCTATTTCACAGTAAATAAAATGAGCTAATTGAAAACTGAATTTGAAACACTGATAATGCATTAAGGCATAGGATACTCTAATAAAATAAGGTGTTAGTTGTAATAAAATCAGTACTCTTCGTTTCTGAAATCTTAAAGCAAATTACTAAAGCATAGGAAATTAAACTACTACATTGGTGCTCAGTATCACTAGATGTATATCATAATATTTTTTGACATATATAACTGTTGATATATTAAGATAAGTTAGTTCAATGAAAAGCTGATTCAACACCAGGAAACAAAATAGAGGTGGAGAAAACAGGAAACCTAGTGTTCCTACTCCAAGAAAGAAATCAAAATCAGGTGAGTAAACACAAGATGTACCATATCTAAAAATGCTGACGAATATAGTAGAAAAAAATTATTGACTCTCTTCTCCAACATTTGGAGAAATTTTTTTTTCTTTTTTTTCTTCTTTATCAAGGCATAAAGTATTTATGCAATTTATGGTACTTTCTGAACCCTAGATATATTTAATATTCTTCAGTAGCTAATTTCATGTGGTCTTCAGCCCAGCTATTTGCCTAAGTCGAGTCAGGATTTTGTTGCATATTTGCTATTACAACCAAGGGAAATTTTCAAGGGCAAATAAAGTATTTTTTAAATGCCATTCTCAGCATACAGGCTAGTTTTCACCAGGCATTACAGCTTGAAACTGGTTTTTTACAGTTTTTAGTTGGTGTTGCATAGGGTGATATAACATGAAATAGCATCATTTAAAGTTATGGTAGCAACATATTCAAAAATAAAAACATACTTTTGATTTCATTATCCACTTAAAACTAGACGTAAAGCAGTTCCAGACTGCTGCTACTCCAGAATTGCACCTACATGAGATCGAATTTGACTCAGTAGGAAAAAATGAAAATCATACAGAGACATAATGGAACAATAGAATTCTATGATTCTATGATAATATTAAGGTGGTAACACCTTTATATGAGAAAAAAAATAGGTCCTTCTCAAAAATGGCATGGCCTTTGTGCAAGTTCTGCAACACAAAGTAAGAAGGTGCCTATTTATATATTTAATGTGTTCTTTGAGGGAAAATGTTGAACATAAACAAGTGTGGGGGGGGTGATAGCAATAATTTTCCGTTTAGGATTTCAAGCCATCATGCAAGATTACAGGTTTTTAATATTTAAATCCAGCCATATCATTGGACTGTCATTATTTTTTTTATTTTTAATTCCTGATGTGTTTGTACTAAGTTATAGAGACATTTTATTTAACACAAATTCTAACCTTGATAGTAACATATCCATTTCATTTAATCCATTTATTTAATCCATTACCAGATCCTTAAAACAACTCATGAGAAATATCATGAATTATCATGCACTAAAGACTGGACTGTGCACAGAAAGTTCTAATCAAAACCCCTTACAAACAGTACATTTCTCAGATAACATTTTTCAATATTATGACAACATCTGACAGATTCCAAGAGACTCAGCTCTGCAGGTATGATATTCATCTCATACTTCAGCCTTCTGACACCGCAATACTGCATTCTCTCTTTTCCAACTTCAGAAATACCTGATCAGGTCTCCCATCAGTCAAGAGATAAATTGCCTGTGTGTGAGTATCAGCCAGAGCAATCTGGAGAGCTTTGAGTGTATTTGTGGAACCTCCAACCTAAGAAACCAAAAAGAAAAAATAAAGAGACAGCTATAAATAATAACAGTTCTTTGTTCTTAAATTCATAATGACAGTGTACTGATTTAAAGGATATTACAGAAACAAAATCAGTAATAAAATGGTGAAAATATTTATGTCATATAGCTAGAAAAATCAAAGCTAGTGTCAAAATAGCATGAATTGGTACCAACTTGGTATTCAGTGCTTATGCAAAGACACAAGCAAAATGCTGGCAACAGAAATATGAGTTGTAAAAGCAGAAGCAATCACTGAAAGACCATAAACAGGTAGGAAGATTTAAAATGAAAGATACATTCTATTATATTTTCCCACTACTGCTCCTGATTGCCAACTCAACACACTCCCTTGGAAATACATATTTTACTTAACCAAATAATTCAAAAGCTCCACAAAAAGGTTGCACCAGTTTATTTCTCAAAAATAAGTAAAGGACTTGCTGGTTTTCTGAGCAACATTTTTTCCAAACTATTTCCCATCTACCCTCTTGGCACACCAATGTAGACATCATTTATTATTTAGCACGGAAGTTAGCTATAACCACAAAACATATCCAGTAAAGCAATACTGTGCCCCCTAAAAGTTCCAACTTGAGTAATACTAGCACTTTCCTTGTACCATTCGCATATGTAGTAATCATGGTGTGTCTTTTTTCTTTTATACTAAATGCAACCCTAAACTGACAGAAATTCATTTATGTCTTACAGGAACCTAAAAACTACAGTTCGCGTCTTCAGATTTCCTTTTAAACATTTAGTGTATAAAACCTTCCATATTTAAGGGAAAGGTAAGGTTTTATCAGTATGGAAAAGTGTTTCATCATGTGTTAGTCTTAATCTTTTAATAGAGCCAAAGTAAAAATCCATGAAAAGATATAAGCTAGCATAACACCTGAGTACCACTCCGGAGGGCAGTGAGGATTGTGAGGAGAGACTCAGGATCCACTTATATAATCCCTTACAGAAGATAAATACAAACCCTTAACATTGACCCATACATGCGAAAACATGTTAACAGATATCAATCTTTACTACGAGTCTGGTGAGGCACAGCAACAGGTTACCCAGAGAAGCTGTGGCTGCCCCATCCCTGGCAGTGTTCAAGGCCAGGTTAGACAGGGCTTTGAGCAACGGGGCTTTGAGCAATCTGGTCTAAGTGGAAGGTGTCACTGCCCATGCCAGGGGGGTTGGATCTAGATGATCTTTAAGGTCTCTTCCAACCCAAACCATTCTATGATTCCATGATTACTTCTTCAGTCTTGTTTACTGTGTTAAAACTTCTTCCAATCCTTCCCTCCAGCAGTTATATTAGAAAGGGCAAAGTAAGTAAATCAGGTGAAATGTAATAGGAAGTACACTCTGAGACTGCCTCTGTATGGCTGCGTAAGAGTGTATGAGCCAGGCAACAAGATAGCATGGATACTTTAGAATCTTATCCTGTAATTCACAAACAATCCTTACCAGTACCTACTCATAAGAAATAACCAGCCTGAGCCACTTTATCTGTGTTAAATATATCTATTATTCCCAATATTTTTGTAAGCATTATAAAGTTTTAGGTACACATCACTCATTATTACATGTAAAATAGCCATCCTGGCTTTTCTCAATAATGGCACATGATTTTGATCAGATTTGAGGCAAAACAACTTCTTCCACTATATTATGGGAATATACTGTGGATGATAATCTAAAGGAAATAACTATGTACCTTATGGTAAAAGCTGTTAATTTTAGTTTCTCAGTTGCTACTACTACATATGAACAATGGTTTTATCAGTGTTTAAACAAGGTTGACATGCTTCAACTAGGTGGCATAATCACCCCAAAAAATTTTAAATGTTGTCACCTTTGAAGGACTTATAAGGAACAGTTTGTTACTGTTTCCAGCTCAGCTTCCTTATTAACAGCCTGGGACCAAAGTGTATAAAATGAGATCAAAGGATCTACTCTGATTAATATTCCAGAGCAATCTTCTGTTCATTTCAGCTTCACTATAAAGCCAGCTTTCTGATCTCCGACTTATGCTTGCACTGCTTTAAACAGACTAAAAGGTCAGCAGCAGATGTCAGGCTTGAAAAAAGAAACTGTTCTTGTACCATTCCTTGTACCATTTCAGATATCTGGATCTGAACTTAGAAGGAAACTTATAATCAACAATTCACAACTTCATGAATAATGATGAAAAAGGCCATTCCCAAATACATATACAAGATGGTATCAAATTATAGTAGTTCAAAGTATTATTGAATTTGCATGATGCTGAACCACATATATGGTTTAAACAGAGCCAGCTTTTTGACTCTCAAGGAAGACAGTAAAATTAAGTTTACTAACCTCAGTTATAAGTAGTCACCAACTACTCAGTGAAGCCACACTAATAATTTCTTTTCTCCATCTATTTGTCTCTTTTCTGAGAATATCAAGTTATTTATCTTGCTTTGTAGTCTCAGAGGCACTATGTAGCTTCCCCAGTTCCCTCATCCCCAGGCATTTCATTAAGTCTAAGGAAGAGCTGTCATAATGTTCTTTTATTATATAAATAATAAATTTATTATTTTTTTTATTAGAAGATACAGTATAGGCTATATCTGCATTGTTGTATTACTCATTTTCAGTCCTGTACTCATAACATTGCTGTCCACATTTGACACATTAACTGGTCCTAAAGCTGCTGTGGCTTGTGGCTGACCACAAGCATTTCTGTTTCAGGGAAAAAACCTCAGATTTTGGCCACTGTCAGAGAAAGAATATTGGGTAGGTAGACAGATATTTGGTCTGGGTATGGTTGTTCTCATGTTCCTATGAAGGCTGAAGTCAGCTATCTATGCACAAATGCTCCTCCAGCTCACTGGAACCAATTTGCTGTATCAACTCTGAGCTGCAAGTCTGCCAGCCACAGCCTTCATCTTTGCAGCAGCCCTGCAGAAGGAGTGACAAATTCAGACACAGGGTCTGATCATTGTCATGGTTCCTACAGAAATCATATAGGCCAGTGTCTGCATTGTGCCTACTAAACATAGCAGGCTGCAAGTTGAATTAATATGACCTTATAAACTAGTCCACTGTTAGAGGATTTTTATACCTGACAGTACTCAGATATACTAAAGTCATCATCATCTATATTTTCAGCTTACTCAAGTCAAATACTTAGTCCAAAAATCCCCCAGCCATACTGAAAGACAAGACACAACTACAACTTTGTACAAACATGCTTTGTGATAATTAGTTGCCATGTTACCTTAAGCCCTTTTATCCATAGCCAGGCATCTTGCAAATTTTCCTCATTAACTTCAGCAAGTTTCTCTTGCCATGCCAATGCTTGGGCACTAAATTTCACAAAGTTAAATCTCTTTTTGTGTCTCAGTTGTTCCTGCAAAATACAGCACTTGAACTTTATTCAGTCTTAAAGAATACTTGCATCCTGAAATACTGCATAATAGGAGTTATTTTAATTAATATACAGTTGATTATATGGTTACAATAAATTATGATAATATTCAGTTATGGTGTACAGAGAGACATATAAAGACAGAGACAATTATTGCCTGGAATTATTAAGATTACTAGAACTTCCCAGTATAAGCCTCCATTGACTCATACTTCTCAAACTACTCGAATAGCAAATGTCTAGGAGGGCAAGAAAGACAGACGCAAAACTGGGTGTGAGAAATGATTAAGACTGGTGTACGAAAGAGATTATTACTGCTTACCGAAGGAAACTGAAATCAGAAACAAAGTAAGATCATTTAGAGGGGGAAAATGGGAATCAGAAGTAGAGCACTGGCAAGGGGAACTAGGACAGCAGGAGAGAATTAAGAATTTGCTGAAGTTGCTTTTGGACCAAAGTTATAAGGAGGGGAAGATTTATGCAAGCTAACACAAACTTTCGGAGCCTGGAATCTTTGTCTCCCTTTCATCTCCATTTTTGTGCAGGTGCCTGTGAAACTTCCTGGCACAGTATCTAATAATTTCTAGTGCTAGTGATCTGCCTTTAGGACCACATCGTACTATGTCATGGCATTTGTGCACTTAGCTCAAAAACCTCCCTGTTATAGTTATAAATTTTCTAGCCCTACTAATGATTACCATGAATGCCAGACTGATAGAATTTGTGTCAGTTACACCCCTGAAGTAAAAAAAAAAAAAAAAAAAAAAAAAGAAAAAGTTATAAAAAGTTAAGATTAAATAATGCCTGCTTCTGTCAAATATTAATGTAAGCTTAGGTAACATCATTGTAGATTTCTAAAACTAGGTGAAACAAACTATCTCTTAGGTGTGTCTCCCAGTACTCACTGCTTTTGAGGTACTTGTGCACTTTGTGATGTTCTGAGTCACTGTAAGATACAAGCAAGCTCAAAACGTTCTACACCCTTTATTGTAAAAGTATGATGCTGAATCTAGAATACATGTGACAAATCACAACATGCCAGTGGAATCAGATGAAACTGCTTAAAAATACAAATAAAAACGCCAGAAGGTATTTCATTGCATACCCTTTTTGTTTTTGTGGGGGGAGGGTGGGGCGGGTGGAGTGGTGGTTGATTTGGGTTTTTTTTAGGAGGGAGGTGACTCAAGGGAAATAAGAACTACTTAAGCCTTCTTTTCTCCAGATTTTTTCAAATGCTTGTACAAATGAGGGAAAAATACAAATTTTTAACTGAAAAAAGTTATCACATCAAGAAAGCTAAAAATGTTTTTATAAAGCCATTATTTTTAATATATATATTTTTTAATATTAGAGTAACAACCATCCAGGAAAGATCAGCCTACTCTAAAATGCTCCTCAGTCTTCAGAATCATCACTTTATCATACCTGTATGAGCTGAAATATTTTCTCCTTCACCAGTGGCAACTTGTCTTTCATAGACTGGGATGTATCAATGAGAATATAGACATCATCTTCAAACACATTCCCAAAGAGCCCTCTACTTCCTTGTTGAAGCCACTTAATCCTTGGGAAGAAAAAAATAAATCAAACCCTGGTCTGTAAGATTTTTAGAGCTTTGCTCATTAGAATCTAACAGCAAGGATCTTTTTACCACTCCTTTACTTCTTATTCTCTTTCCTGGAGCACCTGCTACTAGTCACTGTCAGAAGCTGTATATTAGGCTTGATGAACCAATCCTACATCACTACATAACAACACAAGGCATTTTTATTTTCTAAGTTCTGTAGGACTCTAGAGACAGACAAAACAGACAAAGCAATACAGCATCTTTATAAAGCCAGCTATTGGGTACTTTGAGCTGGAAAATTCCATGTGAAAGTAACTGTTAACTATTGCCCCTGTAACCGTTCTCCAGCATGAACTCAAGAAATCATTTAAGCATAGGCTAATCCACCTCCCTTTTCAGGAAACCACTTGAGAATCTATTCTGCAAGGAACTTAAGCACTTTGAAGAGTCTTAATATAATACAGATGCTTCAATGTTTTGCTGACCTTGAGTCTTAAATACAGAATTCGTTTTACACTTTAAACGGGATTGAAGCATACCTGCCAGTTAAATACGTGCATACATACTGCTGTGTACAAGAACATTTCCTTAGTAATGGCTGCATCAGGTCCAAATCTGATTTCCCTTGAGAGTCATAAGCTACTTGTCTACTCTGAAACAGAGACATTTAACAGACGGAATAAAATGGGCCTAGGAAAAAAAATGACGTCATGGAAACTTTGAAGATCCTATTACATTTGCTACTGAGAGCTGTTTTGCCATCAGTTATTTTCCCCAAAGTGTTTGATGAGGTCAACCAACACTTTTTAACAATTAGATGAACCATTCAAAACAGCAAATCCATAAACTTGGCTTGGACTTCAAAACTACGTACTCATCAAAACCCCTCACCTCAATTTTTTCTATCACAGTATGCTATTACTAGCCTAAATACAGCAAAATTAAGATAAACTGAAAGGAATAACAAAACTCTCTGTGACCTCGACAGATGTAATCAAGCTGTTATACCTTTGGTAGAGAAGCAGCAATAAAACAAAAAATCTCATCCTGCTTTTTTCAGCAAGACTTCTCACTGTCCTAATGTGAGACATTAGGACAATGACTCAGTGATTTCAGTGATACAACTTATTAGCCACAGGAGTTGTGGCTGCCCCATCCCTGGCAGTGTTCAAGGCCAGGATGGATGGGCTTTGAGCAACCTGGTCTACAGGAAGGTGTCCCTGCCCATGGCAGGGGACTTGGAACTAGATGGTCTTTAAGGTCCCTTCCAAACCAAACCATTCCATGAATCTAATATACAAAACAGAGGACAACATTTATTCTTTCTCTTGGTTCTTACAGTATCTATTTTTGAAGTTTCCTTCTTCTCCTAATGTAGGTATAAAAGCGAATTTACTTGAGGGCATCTTTAGGCCAGATGCATCACACCCTCAGATTACATATTTTTTGGTAGATGTCTTACAAAATCTAAGAGTATATCTACATGGCTGCAGAAATGTAAAATAGGGAGATAGCTTGGCCACTGAACTTCTGATCTTATGCCTTATTAGCTCATGCCTTGACTCTGATAAAGACTGTTCAAACTTGTCTTCAACACAAAATTGCAAAAAGGACAGGTAACCATTATCAGTATGGGCACAAGCCAAGTTGTGCTACGTGGTGTCAGAGGTATCACAAGGATGTACACAGGATGAATCTTTATAAAGCTTCATTGATGATTCCAGAAGTTCTTTGCCACCTTATGTCCTGATGCTTTTTGGCACTTTTAGCAGTATTTTAATAATGTGCAAACTGACTCACATTTGTGTTCCAGAAAAACAAAAGATAAAACCGTTCATCTGTTTTCTCACGTGGCTACTAAGAAATCCTACACACAAGATTCTGATCTAAAATAGATTTCTGCTTAGTACTGGCAGTTTACCAACAACTTAAGCTTCTTATGACAGTAAATGTCAAACATTTCAACGCCAACATAAAATAATACAAACTGATTTTACATGACAGAACACTAACCTTCCTTCCACTTGTCTGAGAGCTGTCCTCATTTTCTCTTCATACTGCTTATACTTTTCTGTACTAACATATAGGTGAACCATAGACCCATCTTTCCAGAAGGTATGTACAAATCTGTCACAGTATTTTGCATGAATTACCTTCCTCTTTGTCTCCTACAGCCAAGAAAACATGGTTTATGTTCCAAAACACATTATTTTGCACTAATAACCAGTGAACAAACTTCAAAGGTACATGCTTGTTGCACATGAACAGGTGAAGATAGGGACAGGGGCAGTAGAAACTGGTTTTATTCCTGTAGCTAGCAAGTACAGAAGCTTACCAAATAGTGTAATGATAAATCTTGAGAAAACAAACAGAGCACAGATTAATCCAAATTTGTTTAAAGACTTGCAAATACTGGAGCAGCTGAGACCAACACTTCTAAGGAAAAATAAAGATTACAAGCTTTGACCTACCCCACACAAATGCATAGCAAAACAAGGCATTGCTTAAGCCAGTTCTGATTCTTCTTTGCAAACTATATGTGAACCAGGAAAGACTCCTTGAAACAGCAATTTTCAAATGGCCTTTTGATACAATCTTATTTATGAACACCTTTGTCCCAGCCCACTAGTAAGCTGATTTTAACAAAACCTACAAAATAATAGACCATACACTTAATTATAAATTCATCTATTAGTCAAATTTCCAAGCTTTAAAAGAAAAACCAAGCAACTCACAGGACATGACGGAAAATTAACAATACCCACAGCATCAGTTTGTGAAGACTCATCTTCTGGTTTAGTTTTTATGTCAACAATCCCATCTGCATGGCGAAAAGTACAATCAGCAAGTGCATCATACAGTGTGAGCTTCTGAGCTTTCAAGCCATACTTCTGCAACCACTTCTCAGAAGTCAAATACTTGTCAGATGTATGCTTTTGTAATGGATGATCACCTTTGGTTGCTAATAAAGAAAATAAACCAAACAAAATCTCCTGTATAACACAGTTCATTTTGGATAAGCTATTTTCAAAAACAGACTATGATACCGGAGTCAAAATTTCCAAACTTGTCCTGCTTGCACTGACTCAGCATTGGAGTGAGTGGACATTTCTGACTGCTTTTTAATATTCTTTATTTTGGTAGCTGGCCTTTTCCTTATCAGACAATTCTTTGCAACAAATTCCTTTGTAACTGGAACAAACCCATCAGAAGAGAGAGAATAAAGAAGACAAATAGCTACAAGTTCAACATATAAAAGGAATATTCTTAGTAGTATGAAGGTTGGCTTAACCTTCATATTAGTTGAATTACAAAATGCCAGAAGGGATTCCTTTATAACATATCTAACTTCAAGGAGAATCGTTTGAGAAAATGAAGCAACAGAAGATAAAATTGAAAATGCAGTCAAGAATATTGTTTAACATTGCCATTGGTCTTTTTCAGAGAAGACCATTTAATGTAAAAAGCAAACTACAATGTCTTTGGAAGATATTTTATTGTGTTTCTCTGCAATATTGCTTTTTTAGAGGCTGAGTATTGCACCATGTATCCCAAACCACAAATCACTTGTGTGCCATCCGAACTCATTTTCGGTAGCTCTACACCCTCCTAGCATTTTTAATTGATACTGAAAGAAACAGGGTATTCTTTCTGTCTGATCTGGTATGACAGTTCTTATGTTACCCTTTTATATCATTTATGTCTTAGAAATTTTCTAGGGACCATCTAAAGGTTGGGCACTGCATACCTCTAGATACTGGCAATAGGGTAGAGGGCTCTACAGTCACTTGTCATTAGCTCAATAAACCACACCTAAACCAAAGGTCCCAGCAGTGGATCTCATAGCAGGGTGAATTTATTTTGTCACACTCCAACTTTGGTGAATCTAGGTGGTATAAATATCTACTTTACTAAGATACAGTTACAGTGACAACAGTATTGAGATCCTAAGCCTGTAAACAAACCCATGGAGATATCTACTGACTTAACACACACACAGATGAGCCAGCATCAGGGCAGGTGTAGAGTCAGACCTGTTCATGTGGAAACATTTTTGACTGCCTGCGGTCCTTAGAACAGCCTGTGTGGCAAGTGTCACAAATGCATACACATAATTTTAAAAAGAAAATTGTTGTTTTCCTTCTTCCACATGCTTTATATAAAAACCACATCTCATTTCAGTTAACTAGTGCACTTTCTGGAGAGTCAGCAGAAAAAAAGTATCTCTTTTTTTCTGTTTCTTCTCCTGTAGAACATTGCAATCTTCAGAACAAACTACATTTTGAAGCAGAGCATTTCAAACAGATCAGGAAGACAAAACCAGGAAGAAATGCAGACAGACAGAAAGACTGAAGCTATTTGGATCAATGGGAAACAGTCAAACAATGCTGAAGAACTGACAAAATAAATCACACTGTAAGTTCATTTATTTTAATTTGTTTATGAAGTGATTGTGTATGAAGGCAAACACTAAAAGAACATTAAAGCTGCGTGGTCAGAAATACATAAATAAACACTGAAATTTGGGCTGCCCTTGAAGCTTTATTGTGGCCTTTTTGTTCATATGCATTATGGTATAGCTGTTCAACTTCATAGGGGAAGTCCTGCTCATTCATAAGATGCTATTATCAGTGTAAAGAACTGTATTATGCCTTCACAGTAGAAATAAAAAATCAAGCTTAAGTCCTGCAGAGTTGTTACTGACAGATGTTCAAACTCAGCGCAAAGTTCCCCACTACAAATCTTGAACATTACCACCCCAGTCACACAACTCAACACACTGATGAGAGTTCAAGTGACTGACAAACTGACTGTACAAATCATTCCTCAGCAGGTGATCCAGAAAAGAGTGTCTGGCCCCAGCCTCCACCTAGCTAAAGCAAAAGCAATTGCACTGCACAAACAACACACAAAATCATTGATGCCTTGTGCTAATTCAACCCGAATCTTGTATCAATTTATGAAAACAAATATCACCAGACAGCATGTAAATATGTTAAAAACAGGGATTAACACAGAATACAGGTACCTACAATCAAAGCTATAATTCTGAAGATCCACCCCCTGAGTTGCAGTCCAACACTTGAAGCTGCCTAGAATCTACAGGTTCCTGAGTTTTCAGTATTTAAGTCTTGTCAGTGTCATAGTTCTGTTCCAGAGCTTGCCCAGAGCACCTCCATCTTAGCAAGGCTGAGCTTCTCACCATCCCCTGTTTAAGCCTTCCAGAGATTCAGAAACCAGATATGTTGCTTCTGTCTCCAGTAGGGCTCAATCCAATCAGTACGCATAGAACAAATGGATCATGTTCTAGGCCAAACATAATGGCAACTATTGGTTTAATGAACAAATGCAGGTGTTCCTCCATGTTTCTTAAAACAAAAGTTGTCAGAGCACTCATCCAGAATCTGTTTCAGTCCTCTACCTTTGACTATAAGAATTCAAATCCACACTTCTTCCCTTTTAGAGAGTTTCACTATCTTGAAACCTAGGCAATTTCTAAACCTAATCATTGGTGAACTAAAAATGGTGTGTTTAGGTTGAGCTGTTAAAGTTCAGCAGGTTTAAGCAGTAGTAAACAGATTTGCAATGGAAAGTTTTCAGCAACCCTAAATTTAGATGCCAAGTGTAAGTGCTACCTGTACATAGGCATTTCTGAGAAAATCATCCCAAAATTGACATGTAATCAAAACTGTTTACAAATAAAATACTGATCATTAATATAATGGCAACTGTCTTGAAAGAAACATAAATGATACCATCTTGAGAAGCAAACTGGTCAGATTCTGATAAAATTTTCTGAATTCGTCTCGCTGTACTCTTGGCTTCCTCTAATTCCTTCCAGATCAGAAAGACATCTTCACGGACACCAGCTACTGCAAAAGAAATCATAAATAGAACTTGATACTTGATACACAATTTCTGTTTTTTATAACTCCTCAATTACCACAAAGTCATTGGTCAGATGTTCCCATATGGCCTTGTTTTCTTGGTCACTGCTGGACCACAAAAGTGGTTTTTTGACATATTTCAAAAGGGGGCTCAAAGCCGGCAATAGGATATGAGAGGTGCTTAGCCTGGTTGAAGTAACCTCCAGAGCTGGCCACAGATTTTTCCCACAATGGAAGCAAATCCTTTCTAACGCTCTCAGATAATAATAAGCAAACTCCACAAAGAAATTCACATGTTGTCCCCTGGGCCTCATTGAAAAACCTGCCTCCAAATGTTAGACCCAACTCTAAAACTTTAAAGAGAAGACATTTTCCACTCAAATTTCAATTCCCTTAAAGTACATAAATACCTTTATTTAAGATTAAACTTCTTTTCCTGAAGAGTCTGTGATGAAATTTTGCAAAGATAAATTTATTTTTATCTTAACACTTCTCAACAGTCATAAATAAATCCTACAAAATAAAGTGCTTTACTATGAGGATATAGTCTCAAAAAACTTGGGAAAATCCAAAGATGGAGTTGATAAAAGATTTTATTAATCTCAAAAGATATGTTTGTCTTGATTTTTAAAGTATATATTTATTTAGTAGAATACAGTTATTAAAATTGAGGCACCATGTATACCTAAGTAGTATGGACACTATTAAAAGATGAGTTAAATTAGGTTATCCTCAGAGTTTAATTTGCAGTATAGCAGAATACACAAAAACTGTGTGTAGTATTGCAGTAAATATATAAAATAAACTGAATAATGAGCTATCCTAACAACAAACACAGACTACAACCCATTGCAGATTACAATGCATTATGAATTGCACATAAAGATACTGAACAAGGCAACTGTACCTTATCGTGTAGTGGTTTGATTAATATACAGTGGTGGTTCACTGTATAAAAGATAAGACATGCAAACTTGTCTACTAAAATAGGCTATCAGTAAACAAACAAACCTGATCACTCTGTTCTTTGATAAACTTCCCTGAAAGAATGATATGAAAGTTCTACAAAATAACAACTCAGTTTTAATTCTGAAATTCTTTTAGTTTCCAGTAAATATTCTGAAAAGTGTTATTGTACACTGCCATCTCCTGGGACCTTCCTGCATTTCAAAACCATCTGTTTCAGCCACTGGGACAAAGATCAACAGCTCTTAAATCAAGGGGAAAAAAAAAAATAAAAAAGCTTTAGTAAAGCAGATCATTTCACAACATAAAATACAAAAGGGGGAAAAACCTCAGTCTGTTCTCATTACTTTTAAAGTTCAAGTATTCTGTTCAAATACTTCAGAAAGAAGTCAACTTTTCTTCTACAAATGAGCTTTCCCAGAAATACAAAACATACAAAATCTGAGCATTGGCAAAATTCCAGCAAGTAGGGAGCTAGAAAATTTCTGATGAGTAGTCAGCCATTGAATATATGTGTGTGTATATATATATATATATGCATACACCTGTTGTCACAGTTAAAACCACGAAAGATATGCATTCACACCACACATGCACATATTTCCAAATTTAAGTCTGCTAAGGATGCAATTCCAGTGAAGCTGTCTCTCACTAAATCCAGATATCCTCCATAAGCTATCAAATGCTGGGATCCAGATTTAATTCTATGAATGTTTTTAATGTTACATTTGAAAATACTGAAAGAACTATGCATATTTCAACTACCTTTAGAACAATACCAGTGTTACTGTGTTGCTTCATTTCCCCTGAAATTGATGTTACGGACTCATCAAATTCACACAAATACTGTTGCAAGGTATGCGTATTTAATTGGTATCACACAAAAGGGGATTTCCCTCATTTATGCTGCAGCACTATAAAGTAAATCTGCATGCACTTTCAAAGCAAGCATGTTTGATGACACTTACTATAGAGGAAAAATGCAGGCATCAACAACTGCACATTGTGAAGTTCAAGCTGCTTAGAAAACCTTTTAGCTGGCAACAGTTTTCCCTGGATTCAACAGGGAGAGCAGGTTGCAAACACTGACATCTATAGTGACAACTTTCTTCACACAGGAGGCTCACCTCAGCCTCTTTTCCTCTCCAGCTAAGGAGCAGTGGGAAGGAAAAGACACATTTTGAAACATAGCCCCAAACTCAAAATATACATACACCATACAACACAGAGTATCTTCCAGGTGTGGTTCTCAACCTGCAGCCTGTTCCTCAAAGCTCATCAGTGAAAAATGACCAAGAAAGCACTAACCTCTCTTCAGTTTAAATCCCCTGTTCTCACACCTCAGCTATGCCATTTTGGGGGGCCACCAACTGAAAAGCAGCTGAACATCACCCCCCTGGGGGATGCAGTCCTCAACTGCTCCAGGCCCACGGGCTCTTGCACACCTTCAGGCACCCGTTTCTCTGGAAAGACCTTGTCTTAAAATAATCGCTTTATCCCGAGGGGCAAAGGGCCCTCCCTGACACCCTGCCCTGAAGGGCCACCCCCCTCAACCGCCCAACCGCCCTGGCTGGCCGTTTAACGGCCAGACCCCTGGGGACCCCCTGGTTCCGATTCAAACACCACTACATGGCAACGGCAAGAGGGCGGCCACCAGGCATGCATGAAGGAGCCGGCAGTAACGCCCCGCTGCCTGCACCGGTCTGCGCTGAGGAGCGCAGTCGGTTACTTTCAGCCTTCACTGCGGCCGTCGCGACCCTGCAGAGCACCTCACACTGGGTAACGTTTCAGATATGGCCTGTCCTGGGTTAAATGGTTTTTCTGCTCTGGAGGAGGGAAGCCCTGAAAAAGAGAAAGAGGGTGGGGATGGGTGCAGGGTGCGCTTGAGGCACAGGGCAGAAGCGTTTTGCTGGCACCAGGGAATTGAGAAGCAAGATGATGGGTCTAAGCAAAAAACACAGATGCACTTGCATGTGTACACGGAAGCTCATAACCACCCTCATTTCCATTTCCCACTTATTTAACACTGTCAGGCGATCTTGAAAGAGCAGCTTTTCCACACCTACTTCCCAGCAGACAGTCATCCACTTTGACAAGTCACTGTAACCCATTTCATTTTGGACTCAAGACACAAAACCTGCTAAGAAAAAAAATAATAATAATCCTGCAAAATCTACAGTATCTTTGAAACATCAAGCAAATACCATGCAGCTCATGGAAAACAGAAGCATTTCTTACACCTATGATTACCTGACTTAGACCATGAAGGTAAGCAAATCCAAATATAATAGAATAAGGTCTATTTTAAACTTCATGTGCCCGCAAGGCAAATGGGCAATGTCGTTTTTTCACTGCTGGTCCCTGCCTCAGCCTCTACGTGGCAGCAGAACACAGCAATATTCCCTCAAGCGTGGATTTGTACAATCCTCAGTTAAAGGGGGACGAATGAAGGTTACAAAGGAGCATAGGAGGAGCGTACACAGCTGTACCTGTATACCTGCCAGGTCAAGCAGCACTGAAACCGCCGCATCCTGCCCCTTTCCCACTGGGTAAATGGACAAAGAGAATGAACTTTGTATCCCATGTGGTATGGTATATCTGCATTGCTCACTACACATTAGCAAAAAGAGTTGCCAGGCCAAGGTTAAGCTCCTAAAACCAGACAAAGCCCACGGAAGGAAGAAGCAGAGGCAATGATCTTTGCTACAGCTTGTATGCAAAGTAGCTAATCTTAAGTCATTATCCTGGCTCTCCAAAGGGAGGATTCAGTCTCTCCCATGTCTGTGTACATAAACAGTACAGAGTTCATCGACTTCAATGTCATACAGGAGGCTGGATCTCTTGTACTTCCATTTTATACACAGTAACCTGAAATTTTCCCTGTGACCTTCAGGTAAATGTGGAAAATCAAACACACCTAAGAATACAGTCTTACACTATTCATGCAGAGATCAGACACATCCCTCTGGATTTGTCACATCAGTCAAATCCTGATTTCAGCACATTTGCATTCTCCTTACACATACCAGCTCATCTATACCACCACTGCATGAAGACTTACTATTGTTTCTATTTCAGCCAACAAGGACCCACTCTTCATTTCAGGATCTTGTTCAAAATGCCAATGCTTTTCAAGCCGTGTTTAGCACCTATCTCCCTGTCACTCCAAGTAGATGACACAAGTATACTTCTTCTTGGCAAGAACCTTCTCCACAGCTTCCTTCATCACTTGCCCTTTATGTCTCTGAGTTCCACTCTAAATTTCACCTCCTTTCCACTTATAATTTTAACTACATAACAGGATTGCTTATTTCTGCAGCTTTTGCAGGTGAAGAAGCTACAAAAAAAAAAAAAAGTAGGCAAAAGTGGTAACAGGAAAATCAGTGCTGGATGAGGAGATACCACCACAAGGATGAAATTAGGCTGTATGTGAAAGCATTTCTCTGCCTTAAGTAAATCTTAGTCTGTCAACATAAGGACTTTAATTCTTTACTGACTTACACCTGTTTTGATCTCAAGCACCCACTCAAAATTAGTGTAAAAAAAATTCAAATTTGGCAGTTTCTCATGCTTGCTTTCTAAATGACTGCTCAAGATGCAAAACAGGGGAGAATGGAGCTCTTATCTGAAGTTTTAAACCGTTCACTTCCAACTTGTTTTGGTTGCGCAGATGAAAGAGTGAACACAAAGTTATCCTGTATTTGCAAAATGCTGTTACACAGCGGATACCCAGAAAACTATCATATGGCCTTAAAACAGCTTTTCCAGTCTGTAAAACATAATGATGGGTTTCAGTTTCCAGCTGTTGCATTTGCAGTGCAAAAAGAAACGTAATCAAAATATTCCTGTGCCACCTCTTATTTTCAAGAAATACCACATTTGGAAGATTAAATCTCTGATTCATTCTCTATTTATTTCCTTGTATAGTTTATGCCACACATCCAAGAACCAGTTTCAGAGCCCATTAGTGAGTAATCTTCACTTTTATTATTATTGCCTTCTACACCCTTGAAGGAGTCTCTGAAACAAGAGACATCAGACACAGACCATAATAATATATCCAAAGTGTTTTCTTTTCTGAAAGGACTTTAGATTCTGCATACAACTGACACAGTCTGATTGGCTGCCAGTGATGTCACAACTGTGCTTATAATACCCAGTAAATGCAGAAAGCTAATTGTGTTCCTTTTTAATGTGTAAATTCTACCCCATAATACCAATAAGACACACAGACAATGCACTTCAAGGGGATTACTGCCTTTTGAGCAATTAAAGCTGTTCAGCTTTCAGTTTTAGAAACAGTGGTGAGGAAGTAATTTCAGTCATACAGGAGCTCTAGCCCATCTATTGAAATAGGCGGACTGCTCGGGGCAAGAGGAAGCCTGCTCCCCCTCCACACCCCCCCATATGGGGTCCATCAAGGAAACCCTCAGAGCAGACTGAAGGCCATTATTATACAGCTCTGAATTAGCATGAAACAAGAGATAAGGGCTTGCAGCATACTCTGCTGTTGCTTTCTAAACCCTGCATGGGTGAGGCTTGAGCGTCCCTTCACGAAGTGAAAAAACAGATGACACCTCACTCTCCTGTTTCTGGCCCCTCACTATAGTTCTCTCATGCTGTTACAATCACAGTCCTAGTGAAGGATAGGTTAGTCCACAAGGAACTAGAGTATAACATAGGGAGTAAGGGCCAGTTAGTCCAAGACTGACAACCTTAGGTGAATCACTAAATGTCACACATTCCATAGCAGTAAGAAGAGGGTAACACCATTCTACATTTGAGCAACACTAATTCCCCCCAGCATAATGGGGTAGTAAGCCATTAGAATAAAGAGGTCTTATGCCTCTTGATACTTTAAATATTTTTTTAATTATTATTTAATGTCCTGACGATAAAGAAAACAGACTTGACATACACAGCCTCACATCACATCGCAAGCTGGGCTCCTCTCAGTTCAGCTGAAACCCCAGTCCAGTCCTACTGAACGGTAAGGCTGACTTGACTTACCCAGAGGAAGTTGTGCTGTGACGAGTAAGAACACAGTGAGCATTTTCTACCCTGTTTTGCCTCCAAGTAAAACTGTTTCTTTCTGTTTTGTTTCCAATTGTTGGTTTTTTTTCTGGTTTTTTTTTCTTTGGTTTTTTTTTTTTTTGGTGTTTTTTTTTTTTGTTGTTTGTTTGTTTGTTGTGTTTTTTTTTTTTGGGGGGGGTGATTGGTTTGTTTTCGATTTTAGGGGTTTTTTTTATCAATTCCCCCCCCTTGCCCCCCCCCCCCTTTGCACCTTCTTCTCTATGGTTCTTTTACTATGCTTGTTGCCTTTCTTTATGACAAATTCAGATCTTGAGAGAAGTAAGTCAACCTCATGTGGATTTAATGCCATTATATTACATATGAACTTGGTCTGATATTGATTTGCTGTTGTATGACACAGTCTTCCACACTATTTCTTGTTCTTTCTGCCATTTCTGTATACATTTCCACAAGGTCACTGGCATAAGCACACCGGTACTATTCTTCATCTCCCTAAATAAATGTTCTTTTACACTTTTTCACTTCTCTTTCATTCTCACTTGCACATCCTCTACTATCTTCACTTCTGTCTTTTCCTTTCCCTCTCTTTCCCATACACAGAATTTGAATTTGACCAGTCTTGTTCTCACCCCACCCATGCCTGCAGAAGGCTTATTTTGATTTTACACTTAGCAAGTTCCTGTATTTCTATTCTGAAACCTCACTGAGAAAATCAGTATCATCTTGGTTCATATATTATCTACCTAGTGGCATTCGCCCTTTCACTTTTCTGGTATTCAGGACAATTAGACCTTTTCCATCCTTTTCACATTTTAGTTCAGGTCCAGCAGCATCTCTAGAATCATTCTTCTCAGCAAAAGCATGGAATCTGTAAGACAAAATGAGTTTTCATCAGTATGTAAATACATAAATACAAATTACCTAATTTTAACAAGATGTATGTCACACATGCAAGATCATAGTGGTATACAACTTTGGAATTATTTGCTATCTATTCAAGATATCTAAACCTTCAACTATGACACTATTAATATTATCGAACCTTTCATACACATTTATGTACATCCTGAAGTCTTCTCATGAAGAGCATCCCTTTATTTTGGTATCATTTACTGTAAGGCATCTTCCTTTTCAATCTCCTGGAAATCTGTTTTTAATAATGCTTTTAACATGATGAGCAAACATGTCACTTGAGATGTCTGAGATGATGTTAACACCTTTTTATCATATTATACTCCCAGCTGAAAGTCCAACAGGAACATTTATTTCATTATTGACATACAAATCAGGAAGTTAAGCAGACTTCATTTACCCTCATTGTCAAAACAGAAAAGTTATCAGAACAGGAAAAAGGTGCCTTTCTAAAGCAGAACTACACAGAAACAGGCTCAAGCCAAGAAAAGCACATGAACTTGGCTATTCCTGTGGGAAAGCTGACTAAACTTATTGATGATTATTGGGCAAATACCTACCAACAAGATATTAATTTGCCTAATGATTTTCTGCACCGAGGCTAGACTCATGTACAAACAAGATTGTGAGAATCATATCAAACAAAACAATTCCTCTCAGCTCCCTGCCACAAGCCTTCTTGCCTTTCTCTACCACTCAAGAAACATTCACTTCCGTCTTATAAAGGAGGTAAAAACATTGCCAAAATAAAATGAAGGTTGGTGACGGACAATGTACCTGGTATCATGGAGGTACCACTGTTCTAAATGGCCACCATCAATTTAGACACACATCAGACCAGAGCAAACAACACTTCCCCAGAGTTCTGTTTTTTTGGCAGATGCTCCATCTTTTAAAAGCTACTTCTAAACACAGATGGCTATAAAAGAACTAAGAGGCTGCCATCTTACCAATTGCTCTGCTGTCATTTGGGAGATTTGTACTGTCACAGGTCTTCCCACTCTTGCACAAACAACGGTGAAACAGAAAGAACTAGCAGCAGTTTCACAGCTCTCTAACTGTACTGTGATTTCTGTTAAGCAAACACCTCCTGACTTATACTGCCCACCTGCTATTCAACATGAATTTGGCATTGCAGGTTTTTTGTCTGTTCATTTGTTTTGCTTATTTTGATATCAGAATCAAGACTAAAGTTTTATTATCTCTCTCTCCTGAAGGCTGATTCTCACTACGTAGCTGATTCCCAGGATAAAGTATCCAACAAGCCATGTGGAGTATACCAGTTTCCACAATCATCCTAAATAGATGCTAGAGGGAATGGTACAGAACTGTATTTCCGCACAACCATGCATGATGGATAACACCACATCAGTTTTCTGTTGTTCCAGGAACTGCCCATTTAAGGACAGGCATCACCTTTTCAGTACATGTCTGTATGGCGCTTGATCCAGCAAAACTCTAGAACTTTTGCCGGTGCCTGCGGATATTGGCAGAGTACAAAGCCATACAATAGGAAATTGTTTCAGTTTATGTTGTGACCCTTTCCCTGAACAATTTTCCAGACTTCAAAGAGGACCAGACGACAGACTATTTAGGATATAAGAAAGGAATGGCCTTTCTCCAAGCCAGTGAGCACATACATTGAGAGAAGCTGGTCTGCTCAAGTAGGTCCTGCATTTTAACCATACCTCTTGGACTATTTCCCCAGTTTACCCGGATTGCTTACAGAACTACTTTGTCTCATTTTCCTCATGAGTAAATCAGGGATTATATTCAGATGCCTTCCAATACTATCCCTAGCAGCAAATCGCTTTACAAGTACTGAAATCATTACCGTGATTCTTCTTTGTCATACCTGCCAGAGGCCAAGTGGCTCAACTCTTTCAGAAAAAAAATAGTTTCATCTTCCCTTGCATTGAAAGATACAGTGTGGACTGCACAGGGGCCATTAGAAACCTTCTCAAGGAGTAGCTCCTTTGTGTCCATTGGCACATCACCCACAACAAAGTAATAAACAGCTTCAGCCTGTCATTAAACAAACAAAAAAAAATAAAAATGGGAATTGGAAGAAATTGTTTTACATAGATGCTTGGTACTTACTCAAGCACTGTCCTGTGCTGAGTACTGGTAGGTAATTTTGGTAGAACTCATGCATTGGGCTATAAGCTAAAGGAAAGACAGGAAAAGCCATGTCTAGAGAAAAAAAGAGCTATTATTACGGAGCAACTTCTGCTGATGAAGCCAATTCTGAGCAATGAGTCATTTAGGACAGTTCTGTGAGTATGCAGCTTTTGCCTAGGACTGAACTGGGTCTTCCCCAGCCTCTACCCCCAGTACAGTGAAGCTTGTACTCAAGTGAACTGTCAGTTACGAATGATAACGACTGTATTCAGAAATAATTGAAGTTTGTTTCATGTTGAGCACCTGCCACAATTGACTCCTCCAGATTGCCCATTAGCCTACCAATATCCAGAAAAAAAAATAGATATCTCACTGTTGGACAGATTTTGAATTTTATTTATTCATATGTGGATCCACCAGATCCAACAAGCCTCTTTTTTTTTCACCCACACAATACTGAAATCTAAACACAATCTTTTTTATTTCCTACCAAGAAATCAGTAATACACTGCAAATGGAAAATGTTCATAAAATTTATGAAGGAGATACTTAAAAAAGCAGTCATATAAAATATCTCTTGCACAATCTGTGCCTCACCCAGTTCCTTTTATCAGTTTCCAGATATCAAGGTTCATACAGATGAGATTCCACCATCATAGGGAACCAGAAGGAAACTCATGCCAAATTTACTTTCTACTTCGAACAATGTCTCAGAATGAGATTTGCAAAGGAGTTAGGATTGGATCTGTTCATATGAACAGATCTTAATGGCAGCAAAAATCAGCGATTCTAGTCCACACACAGTAGGCCAAATTTTCCATTAAAATTTTTGCTGCTAAGGAACTGAAACAATGTGCACTGTAAGCAAATTTCATAAAATATCTCTTTAAAACAAAAGTTTCAAGTGACTACCTGAAATGATGGCATATATGTTTTATGTCTTGTGACTCTGCTATAACAAACAAACTTTCAGAAATAGAATTTAATTGTAGCAATTTCTGAGCATGCTTTGTCTTTTTGTCCTGGAAGAAACTCTATCTATAACCTGGCTGATGAAAAATGATTTGCATACCCTTATCATGGGTTAATGCTTAAATAAATCTCTGTACCTACTATGCTGGATTTGGATAGATACAAAATAAAAATAGTTTCGCTGTCATCAATAATGTTGGTACTAGCAATTTTCTCATAAACTTGAAGCCCTGAAAAACATAAATGGCAAAGAAAGTGAAAGGGAATATGTTTTCTCTTTCCCTTCATGACTGACTATGTTATTCTGTGTACTGTAGAAAATAAACAAGTTTCTGCATTCAAAATGCAGCACAATTACATAAACAGAACGTCAGTAAACATAGTATGCAGCTACACTTGGGGAAAAAGAAACTTTTCAAGTGCTGTCATTAATATTTATATTTGCAATATGAATATTGCAAATCAGGGCAAATCACAGTAGCCAGTCTGGCATGAATATTCGTGGATTTACTTGAGCCTTCTGAAAAGATGTATGAGCTTACCGCCTCATCACTCATGGCTTCTAGCAGAGCTTCAGCAGAGTTGGTATGGCTGGCAGCTGTCATATGGTCCAGCCTCCAGAGCCATGTAACAGCAGACTTTATAGTATGCTTAGACACAGGAGTAGATTTCTGTTGCCACTTCGTAAGATCCTGAGCAGCCCTGAAAATAACATTAACTATAAATCAGAAATAGTGAGAATAATGCTGTCAGAGCAAAAGAGTGAAGCTCTGCTACTGCTACTATTATTTTATATTGTAAGTAATAATTATAGTAAAGCACAGATATTAAATCTAGACTTGCAATAAAAGCAGTAGAGAAAAAATGCTGTAATTTTAATGAGAATTTTTTTTGAGACAACTCTTTCCAAAGTAAGGTTAAGAGAATTTAGAAGTACTTTAGAAACAGTTCCTAATTCATACGTCCCCTTCAAATAAAAACACCTTTTTTTTTTAATATCTATGGAAAAAGCCGTTGGCTTCCACAGGTCTCTTTCAACAACTTCCTGCCTGACCTTTGTGTTAGACCATTTTAACTGACACACTCTTTTTGCAGCAGGGCTGATATTTATCTACCCACCAACATAAAACTTGTAATGCCAAGCTTTTTGGCATTTTAATTGATCAAAGGCCTTAGTCTTACTGGCAGTACAGAAGTACAATGTATATGACTATGTACGCTTCTGCATTTGCACATAAAAAGATAGCAAATTAAAAACCAACTGGTTTCAGTAGCTGTAACATTCCATTAAGCACTATTTTGAAGAGTTTCCTGAAAATCTGAAGGACAAGTATGTTTTCAAGATTATTTTAAATTAATAACTTATATGCTCCATTATCCTTTGTCTCCCTCCTGCAAAAGCAGACAAATCAATGAACACAATTACTGTGCCTCAATTTTGACCCTGGCTTTGCAGATTTTTTTCAAAGAAAATGGTTTATGTGCTTCTCAAAAGCTATGGAAGTTATCTTCTACTTTCAAATCTCAGCTGTATCACAAGCTAGAGGATTAAGATAGGGCACCAGAATCAAATCTGTAGGACAGAGCTTGGGTAAAACATCTTGAAGAATCACACTGTAGCCGTAAGTTATGACTGTGGAGCCAATTTTAAAACTATATGACCTAATTTGTGCATCTTTTTCTCATAGTTACAAATTTCTATTCATCTATCCAAACCCAAGCTTATGTGTTCAAACCTTTATGCATATATGAGAATTTCTGCAGAGATACATAATTTTTAATAGCTGCTTCTATTCTTCTATTCTAACTAATCCCAAATTCATTTACTCATGTTAGTGAACAAGCACTTGCCTTTTATTATGGAAATCTAGTATTGTTTCCTAGTTCTGCTGCTGAGTTTGGTGACCATGGAAATCTATAGAAATACAAATGACTATGCCTGTGCCTATGGCACTTGTGGGAGTGTACATTTAGCTGTAAGGCAGAAACATGTAATGACTGTAGACACAAGAATGCCTGGGCAGTCAGTTGGACCTCACTATTTCACTCTGTAATACTTAGAACCCTGTAGAGTGCTACTGCTATTGCAAAGTCCCCCTTATCATTCTGTTTTTCTGTGCTACATTTGTAGAAGGCATATATCAGTATTTAGGTTCTGTTAGTCTTTGTTTTTCAGATAACAACAGTCTTCTGTTAAATGCAAGTAGCAAGCTTAGCATGACTGTGGGGAACCTTACTGGAAAATCTACAGATACATCATGACATGAATCAGAACAATTTCCACTACAGAAAGTGTATTATACAAACACTTGTCGATAGAATATGCGAATCCTTTTATTCTCCAACAAAGGATGGACTTGGACTCCTTTGTTTAGCCTAGAAATGAGAGGGCTCTGGGGAGACCTTATTGTGGCCTTTCAGTACCTAAAGGGTGCTTATAAGAAAGATGGGAACAGACTTTTTAGCAGGGCCTGTTGCAATGTTGGTGATGGTTTTAAACAAAAAGACAGGAGATTTAGATTAGAGATAAGGAAATATTTTTTTTAAAATGAGTGAGGTGAAACACTAGAACAGGTTGTCCAGAGAGGCAGTAGATGCCCCATCCTTGGAAACATTCAAGGTCAGATTGGATGGGGCTCTGAGCAACCTGATCTAGTTGAAGATGTCCCTGCTGATTGCAGGGCAGTTGGACTAGATGGCATTAAAGGTCCCTTCCAACCCAAACCGTTCTATGATTCTTTGATTCTATGATTCTTTGATTCTATGATTCTTTCTGCTTACCGAATGAGGTTGAATTTGGCAATTTGGGTCACCTGTTCCATGAGTACCATAGAAAGTGCATCCCGACATAGATCAAATTCAGCTGGAGCTACAGTGCCAAAATCCAAAACAATGACAATGGACCGTTCTTGAATCACTCCAAATATCTGTCGGCTCTCACTGGTTAACCATTCCATTCGCTGCTTGTATAGCTCAATAGCTCCCATTAGACAATCCACAAAATGAAGAATCAGTTCTTTTTTGGCTGTCAGCTTTATTTAAATAAGGGAGAGAAGGAAATTGAACATCAAAACAAATAATACAAATGCAGCCCCAAGCTTAGCACAGCTGCAATGGCTGGTTTGCAAGTGCCAGATATGCCAGCCAAGGTAGCATTGAAAACAGCCCATTTTTCTTCCACTATTTCAAGAGCAAATACTTGACAAATGCATCTAAGCTATAAAGAAAAGACCCAGCATTTTGTCCTAATTGCTTTTCATAATCTTTTTATATGAGCATGGGACAGTGCCAGTGGGTTGTCTGACTTGTCTGTCTCAAGACTGGAGTAATTAGAATGAGCTGAAAACAGGCTAGGATGTAAAAAGATTGCAGAGCAGATGGGTGAACAAACAAGGACACAGAAACTTTGTACCTTCTTAGACTACATTTTTGACTGGCTCTTAAAATTTTGTACAGCCATACAAGGGAGTGTACGGTTTTGTTCTGGGGCACTTCAATAGCCATCTTTCCTTTAGCATTTGAAAGGAAAATGTAAAATGTTTCCTGTTTGTACTATTATTTCACTAACAATGGCCAGCATTAACAGATTAACTGTCTGGGGGGTAAGTGCTTAGGCAAATTTAATTCACACAACTGCAATCAACAACTAAAGCTTCCCATACCATATCAGTAAAATGAGCAAAAACCTAGGTTCAATATTAAAATTAAAACCATCAGACCCTCCTTATGGATATATGTAGACATGTTCCTGATGCAAAAGGATCTGTGGGTTTAAAAATTCACCGCTGGTTCCAGTAAAAACATACCCGCAGTATATCTGCCACTCGTAGAGTCCATTTATCAGTTACCTTCAACCTCTAATCACCTTTCTGGGACTCACTGCAAAACCTTTGAGATACAAATGTTTTTAAACAAGAACATTTCTCAGGGAGAAGATATTTTGTGTGTCAGTCTGCACACGTGTTCCTCTCATTTGTATTTTTCTCTGTTCTTTAATGTCAGCTAGGGCCCTGTAATGTGCCTCCCAGATACAGTCTCAGGCTGTCTGCCAAAGGAATACAGTAGGCCTGGGAAGGAGCACTTAGAAAATCCAGTTTTCTTCTATGACAGCCAGATTCATACAAAGAAGCTTATTGCAGTACACAGATAAAACTCCATCTTAAAATAAAGCCATTTTCTTACACCACCCCTTCATTTTTAGTTGACCAGTCCAGATTCCCATTTCTCTGAGGGCTGGAAAACTTCTGACTGTCCAGCCTAAATTTATTCGTGGCAGTTCATACTCATCTATTCTTGGACTAGCATGCCTTTTAGCATAGAAAACTATAGCTTTCCCCTATCCCTGTAATTTGCCTTTCTGTAGGCATTCAAAAGCAATAATGCTGCCCTTTGCCAGTCTTCTTCAGTCTTACATAAGTCAACAACAAACAAGCACTCTTACAAGATCAGCACTCCACTGCAGTTCATCCTACTAGCTCTTTCCAGGACCTGTTCTGGCTTGAACTGCTTCTTCTCAAACTGTGGTAACTGTATAAAATATTGCACGCAACATCCTAAATGAAATCTCAACAGAACTTGTATAGTGGCATTGTTACCTTAATGCTACCAGAAATGTCTTTCCTACTGCTTGCAACTAGATGATCTTAAGGTCCTTTCCAACCCTAACTATTCTATGATTCTATGATTTTATGTAGATATTTCATGTGGAATTAATGGGAAAAAATAAGGGGGAAGGGCCCCCTGAAATAGCTCATTTCCCATTTTTAATACTTGCGCCTCAGAACTTACTCAAGTTATCAGAAAAAAATGTGAACACATTTGGTTTTATAAAATCCTTTATGAATTAACTCTCTCCCCTCCTGGTTCACATGCGTATCTCTTCAATCAGAATCCATCCTCTTAACAATGGGGCCGCCGGCAGCTGTTGCTAAGACATTCCTTAGAACATGAGGCTGGGCAGAGATCCAGCTAGCTGTCTCTATAGAGTAGGCTGAGCCTTTTGTGACCCACTGGCACTAAGCAAAGCAGCACTTTGCATCAGCAATGACAGCACATTATGTCTTCTTATTTCAGCAACCCATTTGTTTTATTGACTACGATTTTATTTTTTTTTTTAACTCAGACAAGCATCTTAAGTGTTCCCTCTTTCAAGACAGGGTAAATGTTGCTTAGAAACTGCAGTTTTGTCTGGAAAGATTTACTGCAATGCTGCACTAAGGCAAGGGCATAGATTTTGCAAGTTAAAAAAGAAAAAAGAAAACTGGCTTCTCTGTCACTGATTGTTATCACTGACAGCTTGACAAAAGAGAAAAAATGAACAAAAGATAAAGTTCTCACAAAGAATATAAGTATTTCATGGCATAGGGAGACACTTTAGTCACATCATTTTGCTGCAGTGATAATAACTTCTAAGTGTACAGGGAAGTTACCACAGGTAAATCACACTTACATTGTACACGTTCCCATCTTGTGCTTCCTTGTATTGAGGAAACAGACCATCTGCATACCGAGAAGCCACAAATTTCCCCAGGATGGTCACATAATCTACAGTAAAGGTTACAAAAGATCAAGTTGCTAATCTTAAGGATTACTTCAAACAGATATTTTTCAGGTTAATGTGCATACCATTCATGTCTGAGGCACATGCATCTGTACTGAACTCTTGACATTAAGAAACTTGAGAGAAATTCTAATTATATCTTTGTTTTACAATTTCTTCTGGCTATGTCTATGACAGCCTGGGCACCCAGTCATTGCTTTAGCTGTGCTGTAGGTATATCTATGTCAAGTTTGATAGTGGACCGCTCTCATGGATAGACCTCTCAGTCCTACATTTTAACCCTGTCTCCAGTTCTGTCTCCCAGATGTGCCTCTAAGACCTATACTGTGGCCTTGTTTCCAGTCTTGTTTCTGGCTCCATCTGCTGCTCCTGGCTGCTGTCCCTGACTGACCTTAGACATAGTTCATCACCTTACCCCATCTGTAACTGTCTGTGAACACTTAGCAGCACCCTGCTCTGCCTGCAGTGCTTAGATGGTCAGTGAAGGCACTGCCTGGCCTGCAGTCCCCTTTGGCTTGTGCCTCAGTTTCCCCCCATGGAGCAGCCCTGCTCTTGCTGCTCCTTGTCAGTTTAGTCAGAAATGGGGAAAAACCCCATATTTAATTATTTATAGGCCAAAAAAGCTACATGGAAATGCAATAAATGAAACATCTAGGCAATTACACTTTTGTATTATCCATTTACCTCACAACAGGACTTGCAAATATTTGTCCATCAAACAAAATACAAAATCTGGTACAGATAATGCTGTTCTCTTACACAACTAAATGGGTGCAGAAGTGAGCGCAACTAAGGAAAAGGTTGCACTCTGCTCTTTCAGTAGCTAGAAATCTTCTACAGGATCTCCACTGATAGGAAAACATGAGGGGTGGGAATATTTAACGTCACAAAGCAGCTCTTCTGTACAGCATGCTATCCTGCTAAACTGGTACATTCTGCTCCTAAAATTATGCTGTAACTACATTAACCCTGCTCAACAGCTTCTTCTTCATCTACAGCATACAGGATTTCAGGATCTGCGCTCTTGATCTTTGAATGCCCCATGGACACAAGCCAGCCAAAATCTTAAATTATGCGACCTAGAACAACTGCAATACATTACAATCCCAACTTCTCAGGCAGCAAGCTGTTCAAATAAAAGAATATCTTACCATGCTCTGCAAAGCACTATTATGGCAATGGTTAATAATTATTAGCAAACTCTTCCTCTCCAGCTGTCAGATAACTGCAGAAGGAACATTTTTCTATAGCCTGACTCTGCATGAAAAGCAGCCTGAATTCTAATGAAATTTAACTTCTTCCTCAATGCCGGATCCCTGGAAATAATATAGTGTTCCCAAGCAGGTTGGCTAGCCCTTATGATCATCTAGCTGATCACAGATTATGGCACAGCACACATTATATTTGCTCTCTAAAAATGGACAGAGATGTTATGGTGCATTATTTGCAGAAAAAATACTAACAGCCTCAGCAGCACGAGTCATTTCCCAGCAACAGCTAAATTGGAGATGATCTGAACTGGAGCTTAGGGTAAAGCAACAGTATGGTTGAGTAAGAAAAGCTCTTCTCAGATCCTAAGTCCTTCTCAGATCAAAAGGACATGCAGTTCCTCAGTTCTATGAAGTGGCAATGTCAGCAACTGTGGATACAGCTTCCCTTTCTGCCATTTTCATAAGAGAAGAGACAAAGTGAAAATCTCAGCTGTGTATAATGGAATGCAAAATGAGCATGACCCTACAAACTCTTCAAAGTCAGGGGTTTTATTATTATTCTATTACTGACTTGTCCTATACCTTTCCTGTGCTGGAATCCAATCTGTGACAAAATCTGGGATAGGGACAGTTTGTTTCTTTTGAGCCCATGAAGTTGAAGCCATTTAGAAGATGAAACAAGGGGTTGTACATCCACGTCCCACTGACTCACAGCCAGTCTCCTTTCCTTCTCTTTTGGTTTCTGCTTGTGGGCCTCATGGGAATCTTCAGGATCTTGTCTGTGCCTTGAATCAAAAACATCTGCTATAAAGAGAAACAAGGGAAACACAACATTTATACTTTAACCAAACGATTCACTTGAATTACCTCCTTTATCTGTATTCTGTGATACAAGTACATACATATACACACACACACACACACACGGAAGTACATACATACATGTAGCTCACTTCCTGTCTCCTTTTGTTATACTGAACAATGTTATTATCCAGAAAGTTGCTCTCAGTCCTACATATCTACTTGCTGTTATGTCTTTACCTTCCATTTATTCAAGAAAATATTTCTTCTATGCTGAAATCCAAGCCCTGAATCTAAGTCCAGTTTGCCAAATGGCAATTCTCCCAGCTCCTAAGACATCTCTCCTAAGTCTTAGGAGTCAGAACTCATAATAGTCATTCAAAGATTGCCAGACCATCACTACACACACATTAAAAGCATTATGCAGTAAACAAGGGTTTCTTAACAATTACATGTTGAACTACCATAAGCAATAGCAGCACCCACAGCAGATTCTGACTTTGTTGCAAGGTTGGTGAACTCTCTCCTCACATCATAGAATCATAAAATCATACAATAGTTAGGGTTGGAAAGGATCTAAAGATCATCAAGTTCCAACCCCCCTGCCATAGGCAGGAACACCTCACACTAAACCATCTCACCCAAGGCTTCATCCAACCTGGTCTTTAACACTGCCAGGGATGGAGCATTCACAACTTCTTTGGGCAACCCATTCCAGTGCCTCACCACCCTCACAGTAAAGACCTTCCTCCTTATATCCAATCTAAACTTCCCTGTTTAAATTTTAACCCGTTACCCCTTGTCCTATCACTACAATCCCTAATGAAGAGTCCCTCCCCACCATCCTTATAGGCCCTCTACAGATACTGGAAGGCTGCTATGAGGTCTCCACGCAGCCTTGTCTTCTCCAGACTGAACAGCCCCAACTTTCTCAGCCTGTCTTCATACGGGAGGTGCTCCAGTCCCCTGATCATTCTCGTGGCCCTTCTCTGGACTTGTTCCAACAGATTCATGTCCTTTTTATGTTGAGGACACCAGAACTGCACACAGTACTCCAGGTGAGGTGTCACGAGAGCAGAGTAGAGGGGCAGGATCACTTCCTTTGACCTGCTGGTCACACTCCTTTTGATGCAGCCCAGGATATGGTTGGCTTTCTGGGCTGCAAGCGCACACTGAAGCCAGCTCATGTTCATTTTCTCCTCGACCAACACCCTTAAGTCCTTCTCCGCAGGGCTGCTCTGAATTTCCTCTCTGCCCAACCTGTAGCTGTGCCTGGGATTGCTCCGACCCAGGTGTAGGACCTTGCACTTGGCATGGTTAAACTTCAGAAGGTTGGCACCAGCCCACCTCACAAGCGTGTCAAGGTCCCTCTGGATGGCATTCCTTCCCTCCAGCGTATCAACCGAACCACACAGCTTGGTGTCATTGGCAAACTTGCTGAGGGCGCACTCAATCCCACTGTCCATGTTGAACAAGTCCGGTCCCAACACCAATCCCTGAGGGACACCACTCGTTACTGGTCTCCAGCTGGACATTGTGCAGTTGGCTACAACTCTTTGCATGCACCCATCCAGTGTAAATGTGACCTCAAGTGTAAATGATGGTTTTGGCAGTATCTGCTCCAGGCTGTGATGGATCATGTGCATGCACAGGAGATCATGGACATGAAAGTCCAGTTTCATTTGAAGTTCTAGAGAACAAGAAAGATACTTCAGCACTGATGTATAGTTGGCTTGGCTAGCTCCACTTGCAACCGGCAGCAGTGGCAGCCCAGATCCCAGAGTGGCTGAGGCAGAAATGGAAGCAATGACAACAGTAATGCCTCTGTTCTTCAGCAGAGGTTCTAGAAGGTCTTTGTTATTTCCTGTTCATTCCCAAAATACTCTGCAGGAGTTAAGCTGGCTCTAGTTGATTAAATACCCTTGCTATATCTTAGTTTACTTTCTGGACTTTTTAAATTTCTGTCCATTTTCCTCAGCATCAACATTATCTGGAGTATCCCAGTCCTCTGATGCTGTAAATGTACTGCATGGATCAAACCGGTCAACATACAAAGAATGGTACTTCTACCTTTGATTAATGAAAAATAACCTTCAGTCTAGATTGGAATATGATCAGAACTCTCTGCTAAGATCAAATATTACAACAACTGACCTGGTTACAAAGGTTCATTAGATAGACTGTTTCTCAGTTAATAATACATACAGGAAATGAGTCTGTATCTTCAGAAATCATCTTTCAGTGACAGCAGGCTTCTATATGGTGCAGTCTGGCACCAGCTCTTTCACAGTTACCAGTCCTGCAAGCAGGGTGTGGGGTTGGCATGACTGTAGGGGTTGGCATTTTACCAGCCTTCCTCCTCTGCTCAGTACAGAAGCAGTAGTGACAGATGTTAACTCTAGAGAGACAGGTGAAGGTTCGCAGCTGTTTGAGCTTTGTGCATAGTCAGGCACTGTTTATAGTCACTTGGACTGTCATTCCCAGTTTCCTCTTCCAAAAACACAGAAAGGCCTGCACAGCACAGGTGTGGCATGGCTTCGGAATGGCTTGTACACAGCCAGCAGATTGCACACCACAGTGCAGCAAACGAAACTGAAAGTTATCCAGGAAAACATGGTATCTATGTAGAAATAGTCCTGAAATACTCACAGTCACTCCAAACAAGTCTCTTACACGGATTGCCAGTCATGACAGAACTCTTGATTGGCAGCTCCTCTTCTCTTTCTTCTTAAAAACCTGAGGAATTATCATGTTTTAAAAAAATTAAAATATTGCCGTGCACAGGTCAATGTAAGAACTGGAGACCAGCTCCACAGGCCCAGCCAATGGTAAACTGCAGAAGGCTGAGATCAAGATTTTCCTGAAGGAAGGTAATATTATAAATGAGAAAGAATAGCTACTCCACATGTCGAGAAAGGCTGAAGTTAGATTTGACAGGGAGCCCCATACTCAGAAATGGGAAAGTGGTAAATTGGTAATATGGTTTCCCTTCCTTCACTCTAAATTACCATAAGAAAGAGCCAATGTGGAAGTTTCCATACATACATGCTAGAAAAATGACTGTGGTGTTTTGGCCCGCTGTCAGCCAGTTGCATTATATTCCATTATTGCTTTGCGTTATACCTTACCTTTGCTATAATCCAATTTATGACTAAACCTGGGAGTATCTGAGACATAATTTTGTGAAGAGATTCATAACTTTGCCTATAAGACTACAAGATGATTCACAAAGAAAGAGAATTATGTGCATATAATGTGTATGTGGTATAAGGCCCAACCGTGAATAAGACACAATACATGAAAACAAAACACCAGAGGAAGCAAGGTAGCATGGCTAGATTGTCTGAGGGTATAGCTTTCAGACATGGTGTTTTGCCATCTAGTTGGTTCTTCTTTTAACAAACAAGAAGAATGAATGAGGGATATTTATGAATCACTAGCAGGCCAGCTGCTAGATGTTGTCATCAAGCAGTTTTTCACACAGGAAAAGCAAAACTGGGATAAAATAATAACCCGAAGACTTAGCCTCCTCCCTCTTCATTGCAGAACTCAACATATTTATTTCTCTTATATGGGTTTGAATACCCATACAGAAACATACAAACCATTCCAGTCTTTGCCCTGCTCATGCAGAAAGGAACAAACAATGTGAAAAGCAGGGTGTTGAGCACAAGATGCCTGCCGGCAGCACAACCCCTGACTAGCCTGGGCTTGGTTGGTGTCAGTACAGTCAAAAGGAGCCCTTGCCAGAAGGAAGCCATGGCAGACAGTGCCCATAGCAAGTGGCCATAGCAAGCCACCAGACTTGTGCCATTTCTCCCTCAGGCTGCAGAAACAGTGCCACAACGTTCTCACGATACTCGTCAAGACATGTTTCAAGCAGCAGCCTGCATCAGAGAACAAATCCTGAGTGCCATCTCATTTTCCAGATGCCCAAGGGCGTGGCAACAGATTTTCCCTTGTGTTAGCCTCCAGCACCTGGATGTGAAATGCTGGCGCCACATTATGAAAAGTAGCATTTGGAAGGAGACAAAGTGACTTCCGATAGAAGAGTGAGTTTACCTCAAGCCTTGGAGAGGCAAATTCAAAACCAATGACAGCCGGGATAACCTTCAGCATGAAGTCTGAATCAAAACAGGTTATTTTTAAAAGGAGAACAACAGTTCATCTGGGCACCTCTACCCTTCTGCTCTGGCTAAAGCCTTCACTCATCACACGCTCTGAGTTCTTAATGGATGCAGCAGTGTTTGCTAAGGCTATGTGGCCAACCTGTCCTTCACACACCAGAACACCTCAGGAAGGCACACATGCCTTACAGGTTGAGAAGACACCATGCCACCCAGGGCACTGAACCCCAGACACAAGGTGTGTGGAGGCCTGGGGTGGGCAGAGCATGTCACAGCAGAACAGGACAAGAGGTAAAGGCCTCAAGCTGCTCCAGGGGAGGTTTAGGTTGGATATTAGGAAAAATTTCTTCACCAAAATGGTCATGAGGTATTGGAACAGGCTTCCCAGGGAAGTGGTGGAATCACCATCCCTGGAAGTGTTCAAAAACCATGTCGGTGAGTCCCTTAGTGACACGTGGTTTAGTAGTGGTCTTGGCAGTGCTGGGGTGATGGTTTGAACTTGATGAGCCTAAAGGTCTTTCCAAGCCAGCTGATTCTATGAAAACTACAGCTGGGCCTAAGGAAGAGGGGGAGCACAGGGCAAGGCCTGACTGGCCACCGTGGCCACTCATGCTGAGGCACGGTCACACCACTTGCCCACTGGCAGGTGGTAGCTGCACTGCACCCTCACAGCCGCCACCCCCGATACACTGCATGCAAACGGATGGGGTGAAGAACGGAAGCCCAGCCCCCTGAGGTGCAGGATGACGGGTCGGGGTCACACCCCCCGAGCCTGCCTGACAGCACCGGGGCTGGGCAGCCCACAGCCCTGCGGCGAGGCACCTGGGGAACCGCAGCGCTGGGGGCTCCGCCGCTGCTTCCCGCCGCCCCGCAGCGACCCCGCTGCTCAGCCGCCACCGCCGCCAGCCCCAGCGCTGCGACCCTCCCCGGCCCTCACCTGCCTCCGGCTGCGCCGCCGCCGCCTCCTTCCCCTCCCGCCTGAGCCGGCGTCGCTGCCGTCCCGCGGTTGACCTGGAGACCGCCCGGTTGCTACAGCACGGAGTCACACGCCCCCCCCCCCGGCCGGGGCAGAAAGCGGGAGGGCATTGCTGCCCAGGGGTGGGAAATAGGCAAGACACGGGGACGGGCAAGGGCTTCTGCCCGGCAGCGAGGTACATGCGGAATAAATTCTTTGTCAACAGACGCCACAGCAACGACCGGCCGTCGTCATGTCTGTGGGAGCCAAAAATACACGAACCAACTCGAAGAGTCACTGAAATCTATATATAGTGGATTCCAGGCTTCTGGTCTTCTTAATCTTAATTTAGCCTAAGCCATGGACAATATTTATACTAAGAGCAGCCTTGAGCACCCTTTGTTTAAGTCAGAGGAACAATATGCACTACCGGGGAATTGCTCCTGGAGAAGCCTAACTAGAAACTATCCTAGCAGAGTAAAAGATAGGAAAAGATGTGCTTCATAAACCTGAACTCAGAGCCACATTGTACAGGGCTTTGAGCAACCTGGTCTGCAAGGCATCCCTGCCCAAGGCAGGGGGGTTGGAACTGGCTGATCCTTAAGGTTCAACCCAAACCATCCCGTGATTCTATGATTCTGTGACTAAAAAGCTCCAGCTGAGGCCTGATAGCCAGAAACCCAGGTTTACATTTGCAGTATTTGTGGGGCAAATGTTTGTAAGCATAATTTCCAGCTAAGAAAGAGAGCACTGAGCTCTGCACTTTCTCTGTTTTGCTTCAATTCACTAGACAATCAAAAGTCATAAAAGATAGGTGGCTTTATAGGGTCAGTCTTATCTACGCGTTGATGCTTTCAGATGGAAATACACACCCATAGGCATGGATGGGGCTGTCCTGCGGCACGTCAAAGCATTGGCGTCTTCTCTCTGAGATGGCTTGGTAAACAGCGATAGGAAAGAAAAGTTCCTTATAAGGTATATGCTTTGGATGGGAACGTCGCTTTTTGGAGCTCCAGCTTCTTGTACAGTTGGAAGCAAGGGTTTAAAGACTAGCCTGGGCATGGCAAGTCATTCAGTATTGCACAACTCTTCCCCTGAGGTATAGAAAAGGCATTTATTTCTCAGGCATGAAACAGTTTCCCATCATTAAAAATAGTAGGTACTGAATGTTCTCTGGATCCTTTCAGACACCGCAACTGTCATAGCACAAGCTTCTTTAGAAACTCATATTATCGGGGGGGTGGGGGGTTGGAGGAGGGGAGTGGGCTTTTAAAATTACTCTTGAGCGTGCAAATGCAATGGATATTTAAGTAGATGCCCAAAAATCAAGCTAGTCAATCTCTTCATTTGTTTTTTTATCAAACACCCCAAATGCCACATTAAGGTAGTTTTTTCTGCACTATACAGAATGAGTCCACCTGTTCTCATGCCTTAATGTCTGTAAATGTAGTAATTATGAGTTTAAAGAAAAAAGATAATTATTGTATGTACTGTACTTCCTATGCATAGAGTCTGCCAGAAACCTTCAAGAGAGGCTTGGCTATACTAAACAAAAAGTGTTGCAAGGAAACATTCCTTGCAATGCTTTGAATTTCAGGGCTTGTACAACAGCCTAACAAGCCCAGGGCAAAGGCAAAGCTACTTCCAGCTCTCATAGGCTTCATGATCAATTGGCTGTTGTCTCTTGGGTAAAGTTCTTAGGAAAATAAAATGCTCCCTGCACATCAAACAAATATTGCTCCTCATTCACATGGAAGCCCTGCCTTGACCACTGCTCACCCTGTAACTGGTGTGGAAAATGAGCAATGTATTCTCCAGATGCTGCCTGCTGAATGAGGCAAGGCTGAATAATAAAGGAGGTGGGAATCCAAGGAACTGGGAAGTGGGAATTCAGTCCTTGTACAGGGATGATAAAAATCAGTCTCAAGATATTCTCTCATCTGACCTTTAGGCTGATGAAGTGATATTGATGGGTAGAAAGGATGTTATTATGTCATTCATTAGAAAAAATTGTAGCATGGGCCTGAGATTGCCTTAGCAAGTATGACTTTGTCCTGACTCTAGAATATTTCACCTATCAAGAAATATATTTAGTCACTTTTTCTTATGGTTAAAAATCAGTATTGTCAACATTTTCTCTATATTGGTGCTTACAACATGAAACTGTTGGCTTGGTTTTTATGATGATTCTTCTTCAACCAAAATATAAACACAATCCACTCTTTTTGTCTTCCATTTAAAAAAACACATCTCTTTGCCATAGTCTCTGCTGTTTGGGGGTTTTTAATAATTAAAGCTGCATTTAACATAAATTTGCAGTATTTCTTTATCCATGCAAAGCATTGTACATGGCTCATCTACTCTAACTCCTACTGTATTGAGGAAGAGACAGTGTATTATAGTTATACATGGGATCAGTAAGGTTTCTTATGGCTATGATAGTACAAAGAATGGAGCTTCACCAGGAAGTTTAATGCTGTCACACATCCTGTCCCATGGTGTCATGCTTCCTGTTGACTCCCTCTCAAAGAGATGGGAATCAGTAGCAAGGGGTAAGGAAAAAACCAAAAGCAAGCTGGATTAAAGCTGAGTTAATGCTGTTCTTACTAGGCACACAGTTTACAGTGATTGTCTGGAAAAAAAATAATTTATACACCTATAAGCAGTTCAGCAGTGCAAGCAGAACATAAAAATTATCCAAAGAAAGTCAAAGAAGTGAAATATTTTAAATACTCCTTTCATGTGTATGTTGTTCTCACCCTTCCAGAGCCTCCTAGAAGAATTCTTCATAGTATACTTGCAAAAGTCAAAGGTAAATGAACTAGCGGTAAAAGAACTGAACTGGGTATCTGCAGTGGCATAGTGACATAGAGTGTGAGATTTTGCCTGTTCCTCAGAGGAAGACAGGCAAATGAGGCAGGACAGAGCATTGCAAAGAAATGCTGGATTTAGAGCAGGCTCAATTGCATCTGTATGGCATTGCACTGTACCCAAAGAGAAGTATTTTAAATTAATATGTATTCTTAAATTATTCCTTCAGTTTTTTAACTGAAGTTCTGCATGTCAGAACTGTGCAATCTACAGCCTGTGACTGACTTGTAGCCCATGGGCACCTTAGTCTGTTTAATGTGAACTTAGAAAGAAGCAAACAAACTTTTTTTGGCAAGGACATTGTATGGAGGTGGCATGACCTGAAAAAATAGGCACTGTGCAGTGGGAGAGTGGAGGATGAAGAGAGGCATGGGAAATGGGGATAAACTAAAACTTCAGGGGGAAAAGCTAGAGACAGGAGGAGATCTAAAGGGTATGAGACTGATGTGTGATGGCAGGGAGAAGCAAGAATTCAAGCTGTAGAAGTGGGATCCGCATTAAAGATGTGTATATACGTAACAGGAAAAGCTGGACTCTGGCATGGTAGAAGTGATTATGGATAGGGGCTTTTTACCCTTTTCCCCACTATCTGCGTAACAGATTGGATGCACTGAATAAACTATGAGTCCCATGCTGTAGAAGCACTGGACTGGAGAAGGAAGGCACAGGAGTAGGAGTTTAATGTCACTGCACATAGGTCTAATCAAACTGTAATAGCTGTAGGACCAGACCATTAGCCATAGAATAATAAGAAGAAGCTGGACCTCTCCTGTGAATGTCCAGTGCCCATGTTTAAAAATCTGATTGCAGGCCTTGAGGAAAGAGAGATGTACTTCCAACAGAAGCCAGCAACTGGTTGTCTTTAACAATCCACCCATGCTTTTGAACTGTGCATATCTATCTTCTCTATTTAGTCACCCCGTGCTGCTTCCCGAATCTTCTGTGTGCAGTCTTTCAAGAAGGATGGCTGCTGAACATGCACATACCATCTTGTGGCTTTTATTTTTTTTTCTCTTCCTTCTACTTTTCTTTAGACCTATACTTCACTTACAAGTGTTTTCACACTGACAGGAATAAACAGAAACTTCTCCATCCTGGCAAATTTCTGTCTTCCAATTATTACATGCAGCATGACCAGGTATGAATGGAGTTAAGATAGACTGTCACTGAAGAAGCAATGCTACTTAAACACTGCCTAATGGATTGATCAAAATTTAAAATAATATTTAAAATAAAAAAGATAGCCGTGCTCTATGACCTTTGTGTTTAAGACCAGCGCTGCACATCAAGGCTTGCTACTCCCTTTTGTTTGTATCTCTGGAACAGAGAATGAAAGGTACAAATGCTGCTGATTCCTCACTCCCCTGGGGTGATACTGCCTTTACCTATATCACATGAATTTATTTCCAGGTAGCCTGCTTGCACAAGCACTAAAGCATGATAGCAGGCATCGTGCCCGTACTGGAGAGTCTACACTGAAAGAAGGATAATGAGGCATAAGCTGTGTGGAAGTGCTCCTTGTCCTCCCCTGCAAATAGAGGAGAAACTCTCGCAGGTCTTGTTCTTCCCCAGGTCCATCTTGAGTGATGTGCTTCTTCCCCTTTCTGAAGTCACTCTTGTT